GAAGCCTTGCAGCTGTCAATATCTCTCTAACTGAAGTGCTTCAGATTTCCATACTGATACATTGTGCATTGACTGCGAGAGGAATTGATTGGGGGCTGGTATTCTGAATGGCTTGGAGTTGGGGTGGGAGTGGGGAAGAAAAAGGCAGAGGGGAAGCACAAGGGAGAGATGTGTGTACGTACACAAAGCACTTAAAACACACAAAAAAGCACCAGGGCCTCTACATTCAATATAAAATTAAAACCAGATTTACATATGCCCAAACTGATTGAACAAGAAGGGTTACGCTTGCTCTTAAAGGTTGAGAATATTGCTCTGGAGTGATCACAAGGTGGGCCATGAAGCTTGTCTTTATTATCTGCAGCCTGTGATGCCTCTACAAGGTGCTGCACTGGGTGGTTAAAGCTTTGCATCATTCAGACAGAGGGTGTTGGGAGGAGGTGGGGATGTTCGAGTCTCTGGCCAAGTGTTTGAGGTTATTCCATCGGAATATTTCATGGCCACGTATGAATCATGTAGAGGAACACGTTGATCAGAGCTTGTGTACCTTTCCTCGAGATACCAAACATCAAATCACATTGTAATTCCTCTTAATAATAATAATAATCCTTGCATTTGATATAGCGCTTTTCATGTCTTCAAGACGTCTCAAAAGCACGTCACAGAATATACTGTTGTTGTACTTTGAATTGACTGCAATATTTTGTGGGTGAAATGCAACAGCCAATATGACACCGTAGTGTCTCACAGTGACATTTTTTAAAAAAAATTTTTTGAAGGGATTATTATACCTGAAAAAGCGATCCACCAATCAACTAACAACCGGGTTCCTACTTACTGATAGGTAAACAGGGGCGTGTGGAGTAAGGAAACTTGCCCCCGGTAATCAAGTGGGCAATATAGATTCCATGGCACGATTAAAAAAAAGGGAATATCTCCCAATATCTTGGCCAACACTCCTCCAGATTAACTCCCCATTTAATTCCTGGGACCTCACTTCATTTGCCTACAGTCATTTACTTGTCTGACATCTGGACCATAAAGTTCTATAAAAGTGCAACATGCTCAACGCAATAACACAAAAAATATACTCTTAGAGAGACAGTACACTTGAAGATGGAGGGTTTTGGGGGGGGCCGAGAATCACATCGTGTTACATGTCCTGCCTGATGAAGTACTACATTATTATCTACATTACACTTACCCGGGCGGGGGGGTGAGTGGGTGGGAGGCTGAGACACTTCCTGACTTTTCACACAATTGCTCGACCCTATTGCTGGTGGCTGTCACAGCAACCAAAATCACTGTCTGAGGAATTTCTGGTGATCTGCACTGAATCCTTCACACAAATCACACGGGAAACAGCACTTTGTGTTCACCGCCTAATTCCCCATTAACAGGCAGCACAGAGCAGTCTCCAAGTCTCTGGATAGTTACAGACACGAAGACTCCTCACTGAGGAAGTGGGGGGATTTCTTGGATATATGCAGTATGCCACTGGACTGAATGGTGTGGCAACAAGTGTAGAATGAACTTCATGCAGGAGATGAATAGAGTTTTTAAACAGAGTGGGTACTGAAGATAGTGGAAGATACAGAGAGCTGTGCAGCCCAGTAATCTGGTCCACTCTGGCAGTGACACAAGCAAGTTTTGAAAGGTTTGAATAGTCATTCCATAATAATAATAATCCTTGCATTTGATATCGCGTCTTTGAGACGTCTCAAAGCGCTTCACAGGATACATTGTAAAGGGAATCGAGTGAATCTTTTGTAGGCAAAATGCGGTAGCCAATTGCGCACAGCAAACAGTCGTGGTTTGAGTGAACAATTTATTATTATCTTCCATATAATCAAGGTTATTTTTAAAATATTTTATTTTTTCTAAAACATGGCAGATTCAATTCTGGAGAGTCCACACTACTCCAGATCACACATCACTTTTTAATAGGCTGATAAGACCTATACCCCAGACAACATGATAGAGTGGGGCCCTGGAGCAAGCTGAGGGCACCTAATCTTTTTCATTTGTATCCAGGCAACAAACGGCATCAACCAGAGAACTGATGTGATTTTTACCCTGTTGAGCCCCTCTCACCAAACTGATTGTGCTATGTGACTAACATGGAGCAGGCTTCACACCAAATGTGGAAGTAAAGTGGACCGGATGACAGCCTTCACTACTGTAAACAGGGTGCAACACAAACCACGTTCCTTTGTTTCTCCTTTGATGTTACACAATTCACTCTCTGCGCATAATGCACTTTTGGAAAACTGTGAGCAAAACACACTATTAAAATAATAATAATCCTTGCATTTGATACAGCGCCTTATCACGTCTTCCAGGCGTCTGAAAGTGCTTCACAGGATATACTGCAAAAGGAATTGACTGTATATTTTGTGGGAAAAACACGGCAGCCAATTGCGCACAGCAGCATCTCACAAACAGTCGTGGATTGAGTGAACAAATTATTGTTTTTGAAGTGATTATTACCCCCGGAAAAGCAATCTGCCAATCGACTAACAACCGGGTTTCCCACTTACTGCCGGGTAAACAGGCGTGTGGAGTAAGGAAACCTGCCCAACATTTTGCCCTGCCGGGAATCGAACCCAGGTCCTCTCGCTTGAGACGAGTGCTCTAATCACTGAGCTACAGGACTCCACCATTAACAGTGACTCAAACGATATATTATATAATGATTTACTGATACTTTATACTATTAGTAACATACACACATTGAAAATGTGTGGATTTTATTCCATTAGCACTACATTGCCTTTAGATAATACAACAATATCACTCCATCAATTTATTTCCCCATCAAGCAGGTGATCTATTGATCTATAAGGTAATTAGTAAATGATTTTCTTTAACAAAAGAAGTGTGTTATCCTTCACCTGGCTGCTCGTTCCACGTGTTTCACATGTTAAGAAATGTGAAATCAGACAGTTATTCCCAGGTATTCTCTCTGTCCTCCCCTCCTCCAGACTCTGCCAGTCTAATTACATTGCGTCCCAGCATCATAAGGTCTGTGCAATTAATTTCCATGAACCAATGACAACACATGTCCCTGGGATTTAGGGAACTGCAGCCTGAATCAATTCCTAGTTGGCAACATCAGTTAAGAACCACCATCTAAACTGCTGTAACTGAAATACAACGACTATATAGCAGTAGGGAACGTTTCCGTTTAGCACTAAACGTGTACAGTAATCTTTTAGTATTCAACGGTTAAGATTCTTTTAAAAAACAACCTAATTCTGTTCGAGTGGAGATAAAAGTGGGCTGATTAGCAGTACATGCTGTTGGGTCTGTGGAGACCTGTAATAAATAATACATGGTGTGAGGAGCAGCAACAAAGAGCTTTGTCCAATAACATGCAAATTGGTTAACACATTTCCCCCACAAAATTACAGTATATTCTGTGAAGTGCTTTGAGAAGTCTCAAAGATGTGATAAGGCGCTATATCAAATGCAAGGATTATTATTACAACACAGACTGAGGTTTGATTATCAGGTGCATTTGATTATAATTTTTTTAAAAAACCATACAATAATCTGAATAATGGACCTTTCTATATTTGACCCATACCGCTACTCCGGTGTGGGTAAAATATCAAAGCAAGCTACAAGGCAGTAAAGCGCTCTCATTTACAGTGTGGAGGGACAGTCGGCGGTTTACACAAAGCAGGTGTGGCAGTAAACTGTGAAGCCAAGCGCAAACTCACACACTATCAAAGGCAAGCTCTCACAAATTCAAACGCCAACGCTAACAGACAAATTATGGCAAAGTGGAATCGTTCTGCAAGTCCATTGGTTGTTGTCCATTTGAATACAATGTGATGCAGGGATTCAGTTTCGTAAGCACAACAGAGCGAGACAGAGTTAGCACATCTACAGAACAGGTTTAAAAAGGTGCTGAGTTGTCATTTATTGAGAGTGTTATTGTTAGTATTGTTCCCCAATTTGGGGTTCAGATAAGCCAACAGAAAATGCAGGGAGAAATCCAGTGAGCTTTTTTTTGAAGCGGCAAAGGTCACAAAGTCTCTAACTACAGGTTCACTGAGCAAACATTAAGCAGGAATCCGAGCACTATTTAATTCTAAAACTTGCAGTTCTCTGGTGCTGTTGGAAGAAAGTGATATTATATTGAAAACAGCCTTCAGCTCTTTGTCTCAAAGACTCAATTAATCACCTGACCCCCAACTTAAATTATTGCCCCCGAGGAGTTGAGATTTATTCCTTTTTTTGATTGCCTTTTTACACATTTTATGAAAAAACTGCCTTCATTTACTTGTTCAGCTTATTTTTAGTTCCTGCCTCTCTCCTTAAAAGATTTCCAGGGATAATAAGCCCTTCAAAAACAAAATTTGGTCACTCAATCCCCGGCTGTTTGTGGGGACGTCGCTGTGCGCAATTGGCCGCCGCGTTTCACTCACAAAATACACAATCAATTGACTTTACAGTATATCCTGTGAAGCGCTTTGAGACGTCTCTAAGACGCGATAAGGCTCTGTATCAAATGTAAGTATTATTATTATTATCACCTTCTCAGGCAAACTATTGAAAACTTGAAGAGACAACAAAGTGAAGTGTATCACAGACAACAAAAGAAATGTATCAAGAACCAAACATTAGGAATTGTTTAGCAACTGAGTAACAGGTTACACAGCGGAATCCTGACACAGGCACTCAATGCCCCACCACTTGGTTGGGTTTCCCTCAACATAGAGCTAATATGTTCAGAAGCGAGAGGTGGGGGGTACTGGGGGGGGGGGTACTGGGGGGGGGTGGGGGGTACTGGGGGGTGGGGGTGGGGGGTACTGGGGGGGGGGTACTGGGGGGGGGGGGGGGGGGTACTGGGGGGGGGGGGTACTGGGGGGGGGGGGTACTGGGGGTGGGGGGGTACTGGGGGGGTACTGGGGGGGGGGGGGGGTATTAAGTCAAACAGTTCTCAGCTTTTTCAAGTCTTAAATACATTTTACAATGGGGGAAAAACATACCTTAAGAGGTTCTCACACTTCAGAGGAAGACACTGTAGCAGCACATTCCCTGACTTTCAAGTTGCAACAAAGACAAATACTCTGGAAAACGCACTGAGCGAAAGCCTCCCAGGAACTGAGCTGAGTGTGAGCTGAGCTGAGTGTGAGCTGAGCTGTGTGTGAGCTGAGCTGTGTGTGAGCTGAGTGTGAGCTGAGCTGTGTGTGAGCTGAGCTGTGTGTGAGCTGAGCTGAGTGTGTGCTGAGCTGTGTGAGCTGAGCTGTGTGTGAGCTGTGTGTGAGTGAGCTGAGCTGTGTGTGAGCTGTGTGTGAGCTGAGCTGAGTGTGAGCTGAGTGTGTGCTGAGTGTGAGCTGAGCTGTGTGTGTGAGTTGAGTGTGTGCTGTGTGTGAGCTGAGCTGTGAGTGAGCTGTGTGTGAGTGAGCTGTGTGTGTGAGCTGAGCTGTGTGTGAGCTGAGTGTGAGCTGAGCTGAGCTGTGTGTGAGCTGAGTGTGAGCTGAGCTGTGTGGGTGAGCTGTGTGTGAGCTGTGTGTGAGCTGAGCTGTGTGTGTGTGAGCTGAGTGTGAGTGAGCTGTGTGTGTGAGCTGTGAGTGAGCTGTGTGTGTGTGAGCTGAGTGTGAGTGAGCTGAGCTGTGTGTGTGAGCTGAGCTGTGTGTGAGCTGAGTGTGAGCACCTCCACCACAACCTGCCCTCCCATTCAAACCCCCATGACTATGGGTTTGAGTATCCCTGAAAACAAGACCTGGAGGATCTGGACTGGGATTGCACTTTTCTTTCCTCTGGATTCCAAGACCAGCGACTGACATTGATACAGCGCCTTCGCTGGTCACTGTGCCATATTGAAGTACCACTTACGTAGTCCTCAATATATGCATTTGTTGTGTTTCCCCCAATTTTAAAGCCGGTCCCACTCTCCAATTTGGCCTTTCTGTGACAAATAACTCCCTAAACAAACTTGGGGTCAGCCAAGATGCAGCAAAGGGTTTGCCGAAGGCGCCCACTCTGCAGGGCCAGGGGATGCAGTAGAAAGCTGCCAATTGAATCGCAATTACAGGGTGTCCACAAAGTCTTCTTACACCTGTTACAAACCCGGGATGTGAGACCACAGAGGAGCGGAGACGAGCTGTCAGAGATGCACATCACCTCTTCACTCCATCCATGTTCCAAAGGATGTGGTACCAAACATGACGACCGGTCATTATCTGCCATGAAAATGATCGCACTCACACATTTACTCTGACACTCACACACTCACTCACTCACTGACACACTCACAAAGACACTCACACTCACTTACTCAGACACTCACTGACATGCTCATAAAGACACTCACACACAACCTCACTCAGACACTCACACACACTCACTCACATAGACTCACTCACTCACACACAGACTCACTCACTCACACACAGACTCACTCACTCACACACAGACTCACTCAGACACTCACTAAGACACACACAGACTCACTCGCTCACTCACTCACACACAGACTCACTCAGACACTCACTAAGACACGCACACAGACTCACTCGCTCACTCACTCACTCACTGACACAGTCACTCACACATGCTCACTCAGACACTCGCTCACAGATTCACTCACTCGCTCACTCACTCAGACACTCACTCATTCACTCACAGACACACTCACTCACTCGCACACACATGCTCACTCAGACACTCGCTCACTCACTGACAGACTCACTCACTCGCACACACACGCTCACTCAGACACTCGCTCACTCACTGACAGACTCACTCACTCGCACACACACGCTCACTCAGACACTCGCTCACAGACTCACTCACTCACACCGGTCCTCTGGACATTCTAAATACCGTTAAACATTTGTACTGAATACAATTAAGCATCATTCTGCCACATGTTTCAGGTGTTGCATTTTGTGGGCAAAACAAATATTGAGCCTGAAACTGGATTTCAATAACATCATCGTTTATTATTTATCAGGTTGCACAAATATTTTGCTCAACAAGGCCATTACTGTCAACACAATTGAGTATTCTACCTTTTTTTAAAAAAAAACTGGTTACAATGTCAATAGCTACAACCGGTTTTATAAAAGTTAGGATGTGATTTACAATCCCCGCAGTTCACTGTCGAGGCAGATTATAAGGTATAATGTTCAGTGTCCGGCTGCATGTTATGCGGTTCTCTGAGAATCAGCCCTCAGTTCTGCTGCACTGGGTTTTATGACTTCTTCCCATTGTGTGTTGCTGAGCGCCAGGGTTTCAGCGCAGCCTTTCAAGGCTCCAACTGCCCACAGCTTGATGGCTCAAAGTCTATATTCACTAATCAGCTTTCTATCCACCTTCCATTTCAAATTCTCCCACCAATTGGAGCAAACAAATGCAGCCCTCGTCATGGTTACTTTGCACAACAATGCGGTCTTTTGTCATTCAATCGAGCTCTGAGGGAAGAAAACCTGAGAGGTCTTTGTCTAACCGAACGAAGTTAGTAAAAACAATATCATCTCATGGGTTTGTGATTTCTTTCAGAGTTTACGTGCACATCCTTTGGTAATAAAGTATACTGTACGTTATTAAAAAAAAGGCATTTTACTTGTTTCACTTTTAAGCTTAAAGCTACACAATATATTCATATACTACAACAAGTCCTTTATTTGGATACAGCACCTCATCATGTCGTTGAGACGTCTCAAAGTGCTTCACAAGCGTTACTGTTAAATATAGTGACTATATTTGTAGCAGATTTTAAATATGAGATTCTTCAAACAGAAATTATTTTTGTTTTGTCGCATGGTTTTTTTTTAGAAGTCCCTTTACTTTAACTTCTTAAATCATTAATTAAAACAATTACGCCAATTAGTATGTTAAACACAATATGTATAGATATATTGATAAATAGAATATATATTGGAAATCAAAAGCAAAATACTGCATGTGCTGGAAACCTGAAATAAAAACAGGAGTCGCTGGGAACATGCAGCAGGTCAGGCAGCATCCATGGAGAGAGGAAAGTGTAAAGTGCTACCCCACGTGAAGGGCGATTTATAAAAGCAAATTGTTGTTGTTTATCACACACGTGTTTAGATGTTTACAATAAACACTTAAAACATGGCCACACAGAACACACCCAGTATCCTAATTGTCTTAAATACTGCATAGATTGAGCTTTCCTTAAGGCTTTGAGCTGTGGTGTATTTTGAGCAGTCAGTCGCCTCGTGTGCTACTGCTGAAGTTAGTTATCCATAAGAACGTTGGAGTAACTGGTCTTTTTATATGCACCTAAACCATTGGAAATACTGTTTTGCTTTATTTGCTGAAAGGATTGCTAAATGCAGTCATCAACTACGATGTCTTAACATCACGGAAGAGTGGTCGCCTTTGTTGACTAAAATGAGGCGACTTCTTTGATGTAATGTTCAATCATTGGTTGCATTGTTATCCATCACAATGGTATCATCAGGATTTATAACTGATTATATAGGATTTAAAATAAAGATTAAATAGCCAAGCCATTCTTTGTGGTATTTTCCTTTGAACGTAGTTACAAAGTTGCGAGGCTTTTCCTTGTTTTCCCACCACTTTTTTTCTTCTTCTATTCCAAATTTGGCACTAAATACACCCTCGAGTGCTTTGCCTGAATGGCTCCTTGGCAAGTTATTGTGCTCTTCAATCAATGGAGGGAAATCACAGCAGTCATACATGCAGTACTATCAAGCAGGGATCACTGTATAGTGATGAGGAGCCAGAATACCTGAGGCATGAATGTGATCCCGAGTCAGGAGAAACAAGGCCAACAGCAGCAACCAAACCATACCCGATCTGAGGCCAACTAATCGGTATAGACCGAGGGCAATACGATTATCTCACCAATCCGTGGAATGATTAAGTAACAACAACAACTTGCATTTACATATAGCGCTCCTCACGCAGGGTGGCGTCCCAGGATAACGCCCCATAATTTAGCAAGTTATGTTCGGGGGGGGGGAACAAAAAAANTAATTTATACGTAACTATTTGTAGGCAAGTATTTGTACAACACAATTTTTTAAAAAAATTAAGCTACGATAACTCCCTTGCATGGTACGAGCCGGGCACTCTAGAATGAATACTATCGAGCCAACTATAACATACACCTTTCACCTGCCCATCCCCTTTGGCTCCCACCTGTGCCTCGGGTGCCCAGCCAGCAGTATTAAGTGCTTTGAGACGTCCTCCCAAAATGCATGCCATAAATGTAAATTGTATGTACATTTCCAACAGGTAAGTTATTTAGAATGCGCTCTGGGGATGATCACGTGAAAGATTTTATTACTGGAGCCAAAAAGACCAATGGAGGGGAGGGCGGGGAGACAAATCTTGTTGAAAGATCCCAATCGACAGGGGACTGGGGTTGTTTGAGAAGCTGCGGAGGCTTCTGGTGTGGCTGCTGATATGAACATCTTAGGTTTCACTTTTTGAGCTTGACTGAATATCTGACTGGCTGATCGTTGAGTCGCATCATATTTCTGTCGTTTAACTTGCCGGAGATAATTACACTTTCACAGAACATCAGTGTGGAAATGCACACCTGTGATCAGGAGCCAAGCCTTCAAGAGGTAACCCTGGGATACAGACTGAACTCAACCACTTAAAATAGAAAGAAATGATAGGGCGTCTTACCTATAGGAATCCCACTTTTTCTGAATCTGACACCAAACATGAAGACCTTCAGTATAAAAACTGTTACTAGAAGTAGCAGTAAAGCTGTATTCTTGTCGATAAACTACTCAACACTGAATAGTGTTTTCTTTTCCAAAGGAGAACAACACAAAATTCTTAATCTTAATTCCTCTGTTTGTCTCCCTCTTGTAGAGTAATATTATTCCAGTTGTGGTCTAACAGTTTACACAGTTAACTATACAACAACTTTTTTTCTACGTTTTTAATGTAACCCAATACCTTATTTACCCATTTTAAACTTTCACAAAATTTGAAGATATTAGAATAAAAAAGTTATTAATTTGCAAAAGAAATTCTAAATGCCAGTTCAAGCAAGAGAAAGACCAGTAATATTTCTGTAGCTCAGTGGTTAGAGCACTCGCCTCACAAGTGAGACCTGGGTTTGATTCCCGGCAGGTCAGGGCGAAACCTTGGGCAAGTTTCCTTACTCCACACCTGTAGCTCAGTGGTTAGAGCACTCGCTTTGCAAGCGAGAGACCTGAGTTCAATTCCAGGCAGAGGGCGAAACCTTGGGCAAGTTTCCTTACTCCACACAGAGCCTAATAATAATCCCTCCAAAAAACAAAAAAAACAATAATAAATTGATCATTTTCAATCCACGACTGTTTGTGGGACATTGCTGTGTGCAATTGGCTGCTGCGTTCGCCCACAAATATAGTCAATTCACTTTGCAGTATATTCTGTGAAGCACTTTGAGATGTCGAGAAGACGTGAAAAGCGCTATATCAAATGCAAGGATTATTATTATTATGATAATAATCCCTCAAGACAAATAAATAAATAATAATTTGGTCACTCAATCCACGACTGTTTGTGGGACACTGCTGTGCACAATTGGCTGCGCGTTTCGCCCACAAATATACAGTCAATTCACTTTACGGTCTATTCTGTGAAGCGCTTTGAGACGTCGAGAAGACGTGAAAAGCGCTATATCAAATGCAAGGATTATTATTATTATTATTATATCAGCAGCAGCCCAAACCACCATATTTGAGATAATAATAATTTGTTTTATGTGGGTAAGATTCAGAGATTACACCATGAAAGGCAGAGCAGCTGGGTTAGTAAAACAACATGAAACATTACCTTAAAAAACATTCTGTAACTTTAAGACCAAACCAAAGAATAAAGTGCGATCTATTAGACTGATCTGCATTTAACATCATGCACGTGTTACATTAACTGGAAAGTAACATGAACTGTTTATTGACTTGTTTTACTTCAGAACAATGTGTAACAATTACAGAGTCCAATGTGAATTTACAAGCTGACTTTACAATACAGGTCTGAGACTTTTGTTTAAAAAAATACAATACAGGCTTTCAAGAAGCTTCATTCTAGAAATGTTGATTTGCTCCACACGTCAGTCACAGCTAGAAATATGTTTTTGTTTTAAGGATACGATATAGCAGTTATCAGTCATCTTTTGCCGAGTGAGCTGACAGTTCACTTAAAGCTGTATTACACCAACATTCTGAGGATCAATGTTGTCAACTCATTGTTTACCAAAACCCTTAATCCATGAAGTCAGATTTTTTAAATTCTGGAAAATTGTGTCCCGCTGATGTTGTATATTGTGGGTGATTCTTTCCGTTAGAGTGGGTTCTTTCCAGATACCTCTGCCTTTTGTCTGTGCTTTCAGTTCTGCTTTGATGAGTTTTGTTTGCAATTTCCAGTATAGTTTCGAGTTGGAATCTAGGCCCTTGATAGCAACAGTCCGTCCAAGACCTTGTCTGAGAATCTCTTCGTTTAGACAGATAGTGAAAAACCTACCCTACGAGCGGGAGAGAAAAAAATAGTGAATTTAAAAAAATTCAATACGCTTTCATGCCTCAAACCAAATGAACTCGAGTGTTTTACAAAATAACTTAATTTTCAAATCCACTGGGATTAGATACAGCTCCTCCTAACTCTACACACACCCCCAAAAATTGTAGGATAACATAGTTTTATAAAATATGTCACACAGAAAAGTGTTTTTGTCCACGGGACAAAAATAGTTATTGAAAGGTAACATCCACAGGACATAGAGCAGTGGTAGAGAACAGATCTATTGCGGTGAAACAGGACTTACCTTATTTTTTCTAACAATACAATCAATAATTGAATCTTCCCTTCCAAGAAGTTGAAACCAAACTATGTTAGAAGGTTTTATTTGTTCTTGTAACCAGATTCTAGCTTCGTCAGTCATTTGCAATCCAGCCATTCTGATCATCAACAGACCACTTGATTGCCCTGAGGAAAATACAAACGTTTCTTTAATAATCGTGGGATGAAATAAATGAAGCTATGCTTGAGGTGTCATAGCCGATAGGTAGCCTATCCAACATGGAGAACCAGAGAACAATTCCCTTAAGGCTTACCGACAAACCCGTGTGCTAAAAGCACTTACACAGGAAACAATGTTAATTTCCGTGCCCATCTTATTGAAAATATTCACAGACCAAATGTAATACTGAATATAGAACTTGTCATATGATACATTGAACATCAAGGAACACCTATTCATGCACCCTCGGGCAATCTATTCCTCCGTTATAATGAAGTCTTTCTGAATGGAGCATTTACAGGATAAAATGTCTGAGGCAGGGAGATTTCCCTTCGAAGATTAGTCTTTCCTTTTAGCTATTCATTTCAACAGCAGGTTCAATGAAGCCAGGTGGTAAAACTACTTCATGTGAGAGATGGTCTGGGAGTTGAGTCTCTTTTTTCCAATAAAGGCAACCATAATGCTGTGCCCTGGAGGAAACAATTTATAGATGAATCTCATTTATAGGAAAGGGAACTTATATTGAAAGCTAGTCTGTACATAACCATTTGCTTTTTCAAGGGGAAGAAGAAAAAAATCTTCCAACTCACAGCATGGGAACATCAATTATGATTATTTCAATCTATGATGAACAGGGAGAGGTGAAATTATTGAAAAATAAACGAGCTGGTAGTTATAATTTATTAATAGAAAGGGAATTTAATTTTAGTTTAATATTTTTTGATGGCAGAAATCAATCAGAGAACAACAACTTGCATTTATAGAGCGCCCCTCACGTGGGGTAACGTCTCGGAGTGCTTAGCACAGCAGCAATGCCAGTAATGCAGAATGTGAAAATAATTGGTAAGAGATTGAGCTTTGACAACTGACGGCTGAGTCAAGACATTTTTGATCATGACTGAATGGCAATGCATTCCTTCAAAATAAAAAAAACTACAAAGAAACCAAAAAAGATTGCAACCCATGTGTAACAGCAAAGATACTCACTGTCCAGTTGGACAAAAGTCAAACAGTATCAGGTATAAGTGAACCGGTAATTATTACCCCAAAGTGTTGCCACTGAAGACACAAGACGTCATGCTTTGATTCCCAAATGACTACTTATCATAGATCACCGTTCTATTCTAGGCTGTCAATGTCAGACAAGTGTTGAGAATTACATGTGTGATCAGCAAGAGTGACAGATTGCAAAGGTATTTAGACATACACAGCTGTGTTTATTTTTTAATCTCACATACATACACAAACGAAGGTTGCATTTTTAAAATCAAATTGAGCATATACCAATCCTAATGAGTGCTCTGTAGCAGACTGGCAAGATATGTCATTTACACTGCATACCAAATACCCTTCAAATACAGACATTAATAACATTTCCCTAAACAGAGCTTTCTTTGCGTACCAGTACACAGTACTCATTACGCCTTAATGAGGTAAGCATTATTTAACAGTTTCAAGTTGTCACGAGCAGCATTTTGAGACGTTGTGCGGAAATCCCTGTGTTTATTCCTGTTAGGTTTTCGGTACTTAAATGATCTTTGGAACAGCCAAAACTGGTTCTGGGAGTGGAAATACTGGAGGAAATGCCATTTTTCTGCAATTTTGTCTGCAATTATTAAAAATGACAATCGTTTCAGTTGACCGACCAGTGGCAGACCTCTCAATCATCTCTGCCCATTGTTTCTAAAATCTGATCAATTCCTCTACATAACGTGCAGGGTACCACAATTTATTAAAGACAAGAATAAAAAGCATAAAATTGAGCAAGATCATCATCATATTTGTTCATGGGCCACAGTTTCTGAGGGTTGCTCCCCCACATTTTGCGGTACAATCTTTAATAGTGTTTCCTTTCACATGTATGACTAGGCTGGAATGATTTCTATTATTTGACAACACAGATCTCATCTAGTACTGACTTGAAAAGCAGAAGAACGTGTCTTACCAGTTGTGCAGAAAATGTAAAGCATTGTTTCCCGATTAATTAGTGTTTGCTATCTTATGGTGCGCACCTTCTTTTTTTGCTTCATTACCTCAGGGCCATTCTTCTGGAATATAGATCTATAGCACAGTGTTAAACTCAGGTTAGGACTCAATTGGAAATATCCCAAGCTCCTTTAACAGCATCATGGCATCATGATTAAACCCTCTGCTGCTCTCCAGTGGTCACGGCAGATGGGCAGCAGTAGCACAAGTAATTCATCACTGTACTTGAATAGCAGGTCATTTACTGACCATGGGAACCACTTAAACTGCACACAGTATGTAGCTAGGTAGCATAATAAGAGACTCTTACGTTTCCTTTAAGGACTCTGTACGTGCAGCAATGCTTATAACAAGGAAATAGCTTCTCATTTTTTTCCTTCCACTTACCTTAAGACATTTGTCGTTGAATTTAGGTGAGGAAAGCTGACAGTCTGATTAGACCTGTTAAGTTTACTGCCCAAGGAAGCTCGATATAGAATATATTGTGGAATATCATTCAAATTGCATATCAATGCATAGAGCGAGTGCATCGACAAATTCCACCTCCAGAGGGGACAGTCAAGGCACAGGATAAAGATGCTACTTGTAAATACATGGAGACATTGTTGAATAAGTGCCACAATGATGTCAGAAGCATGTAAATGTGCATCTCAAACCTTCAGAAGTTGAATATAAATGGTGCAGAACTTCCTATCTGACCCATCGGAATAATTTAATTGAGCTAAGCTTCCTGTTTTCTGAGCTATGTCTTCAGTTCACATACCAGTATGATTATTCATTGTTTTTTTGGAAAATTGCGTTTTCAACTCGGTTACTTACATTTTCTTTGTAAAGATGAAATAAAGGGAAGAGCAATGGGAACATGTTCTACTTCCAGTCCCTTTTCCGTTATACGATGCACTTTACCTCGAAGTTGAACTTGTTTTTGTATGAAGGTGTCTGGTACGTCTAAAACAGTACTAAATTTAGTACTCTGTGACGATGAAAAGAAATTCATGATTGATCATTCAACATTTATATCAGTATTTTGTAATCAAAGATATTCTGAATAGAAGGTTAGCATTTCAAAAATATTCATAAATCTCTGTTCAACCACTACGAATAAAGATCTTGCAAGATACATTTTATACAAGCTTTTAAACTGGCAAACAGAAGAGTGAAGACTCAATCCACCAGAGCCACTTTACTTAAGTTTTCACAAACAGTCGACAACGACAACAAATTACACTTGTATAGCGCGTGTATTCATGTCGGAAAGATGTCCCAGAACGCTGGACAATCAGGGGTTTTGGACCCGAACTGGGATCACAGTCTGATGAACCTTAATGCCATTGTCCATATTTCTGATCACTGGAGAAGTCCCCGTTTATCAGTAAAGTTTGGATTGACTCAATAAGGAATCGCAATGAAAAATGCCATCAGGTAGATCCCCAAATACAATAAAGCTTTGTAAAACTGCTCGCAGTAATGATTCAAATGCACGTCTTCTGCCGTTTTGGTGGAGGAGGGGGTAAATACTGTCGCGGTTTCAATAGAAGCACAACCCACAATTTGAAAATTCATTGGGGTTAGAGAGTCATGATCTGGAAGCAACAAAACAAAACAGAAATGTGGTTTACAAGATATGGTCGCCCTAAAGATGTCTTACAAGTCTAACGCTTCGCGCTAAGATCAGGATTCCAGCCCCCGCCAACGCTGGGCTGAGGATCTGCAAAACACAAACCAACCACAAGGTCACCCCACAAGATGTCTCACCTCCTCAGTTACCCCCCCCCCCCCCCCAACACCCCCCCCCCCCCCCCCCCAACACCAACACCGCCGGCTGGCCAACACCCGCTGATGCCGACTCCCCGCTGGTAATAATATTCCTGGCGTTTGACCCGGCGCCGGATCACGTCTTCGAGACGTCACAAAGCGCTTCGCGGGACACAGCGTAAAGTGTAGTGACTGTGCGATTTGCGGGCGAAACGCAGCAGCCGATTGCGCCCGGCGACGACGTCCCCACAAACAGCCGCGGATTCGAAGTGACCACATTATTATTATTATTAGTAGTATTATCAATGTTATTATTAAGGGATTATTACCCCCGGGGAAAGCGATGGCCGCCGCGGTTCATCCGCATAACACACAGTCACTACACTTTACGGTGTGTCCTGTGAGGCGCTTTGTGACGCCAGGACTGTTATTATTATTATTATTATTATTATTATTATTATCGAAAAACAAACATGTGCACAAATAGATGCCCTGAGGCTGTGACCCCGCCCCCATGTGACTCCGCCCCCTGACTGCGGCCACGCCCCCTCACGACGTCAACGCCCTCCACTGTGGCCACGCCCCCCGAAACCCCGCCCCCTCCTACGGTATCACCGTCGCCCCGGCGGCCGGGCTGACAGGGACAGGGACAGGGTGAGAGCCCCCACTCCCCCCCCCCCCCCCGCTCCCGGCCCCCACTCTCTCTCTGACCCGGAGCGCGAGGAGATGTCGGTCCAAAAAGCCCGCGGCCGCCTCGACACCGCCAGCCGCCGGGGGCTGCGCGCGCCGCTCCCTCCCCTCGGACATCGTCGGCGCTCGGGCTGTCACTGCGCCTGCGCGGATACGTCACCGTCACCGCCCCACCCCCCCCGCGGGGGGAGGGAGGAGGGGGCGGGGCCAGTGTCATCCCTGTGTGTGTGTGTCTATCTCTGTGTCTCTGTCTATCTGTGTGTCTGTCTGTGTCTCTGTGTGTGTGTGTCAGTGTGTGTGTCTATCTGTGTCTCTGTCTATCTGTGTGTCTGTCTGTGTCTCTGTGTGTGTGTGTGTGTCTGTGTGTACATGTATGTGTGTATGTATGTGCTTGTGTATATATGTATGTCTATGTATGTGTGAATGGGTATATGTATGTACGTTTGTGTGTGTCTATACGTATGTGTGTGTGTGTACGTGTCTCTATGTATATGTGTATCTGTATATGTTCGTGTGTGTGTGTTGTATGCCGAGGATCGTCTACACAAGATAAAAATCACAAAGTGAAATAAAAGTACTTCCACAAACACGATCCGTTGATTAGATTGATTATAAAGTTCATAATAATTTCATACAATTGATTTCAGAACTGTAATAGGTGCCTCAATGCCGAACACACATTTTTTTTGCAGAAAAGACAAATCATATTCTCAAGTACTTTACAGACATATTTACAGACTAAATAAAAATGTCACAATTCAAAAGCAACATTTGGTTGGTGAATAGCTTTTCTGGAGATGATAATCCTTAAACAAAAAACCCAATAATAATTTAGTCACTCAGTCCACGACTGTTTGCGAGACGCTGCGGTGGGCAATTGGCTGCCGCGTTTCGTCCACAAATTTACAGTCAATTCACTTTTCAGTATATTCTGTGAAGCGCTTTGAGATGTCTCGAAGACTTGATACGTTGCTATATCAGATGCAAGGATTATTACTCAGTGTGTTGGAAACAAAAATAAACATGGTGCAGTGTGGACACACACACTTATTCAAAGGCAAACATTTGTACATATAATCAGTTAGGGCACAGCAATCTGAGCAGCTAGTTATTTTGAAGTGTGCTTATATTTTATTGTTCAAAAATGTTGAGAATTTCCCATTTCCAAGATTCCTCTCTTTTCAGACGTTTACCAGAAAACAAGTTAGGGAGCTAAAACTTGCTTAAATCAGAGGAGCATGAAGCCACACAATGCTACAGGAACACATCTGTATTCCTGTACCTAAGTTTTTCTACAAAGTAGAAGATTTTTGACTTGTTTTGCTAAGTATATTTTCAGGGGTGGAAGAATAGAGAATCTTTTAACTGAAACCTTTCTCCTACATTTATATCTTAGAAGTCATTCAGCATTTTTTCTAGCATCAAATGAACTTTTACAGTATCTGCTGAATTCCAATCTAATGGAACTTGAAAGCTATTAAATTAGATCTACAATCAAAAATATTAGGTATGTTTGCACTGAAACGTACAAGTCCACTTGTTTAAATTTCAGTCCAGTAACATAGATTTGTGAATGTGTAGATTTCAAATTAAATTTAAAAAAAAACTAGAATGAATGTCAATACTAAAAGATTTCATACTCTGTATAAACCTGATCTCCTGATATAAGCAAATTGTATTTTGTCACCTTGTCAAAATGGTGATGTTAGAGTCAATCCACCCTGCAAATTTGTCTCTCTTTATACTGTAAATTGCAAAACTCCAAATGTTTTGAAATCAAATCCAAACCTTATAACCAATGTGAAATGTTCATGTTGAGCATTTCAACTCATTGATCAGATATTTTGTTGGGCAATTCACAACATGAAGAACTTTGGCCCTTGCTATAGAAGCGCATAACATTATTCACTGCATTTGATGGCTGTACAGGCTGCCCCCAGTCTTACAGAAGCGATGAGAGATTGCTTCTCTTATGGCCACTTCTATAAACCTACCTGTAGGAGCAGTAGCTATAACCATAAAGGTTTGCAGTCAATATCTGGTCCATCTTACTCTGTATTAACTTCAAGTAAACAACCATGTTGGTGTTTTCCAAGACCAATGTATTTTGCTGACACCATTGGTTTAACAAAAAAATCCACATTGATGATATTGGATGGACACCAACATATCTTAATGCACAAAATGACATTCATCTTTTGGTCGAAGTATAAACTGTATTCATGAAGACTGCAACCTTTTGAAGCACAAAAACAGAAGTCGCTGAGAACGTTCAGGTTAGTATTTTGCCTTTTGAAGTACATGATGGATTAAGTGCAACCCTTGTTGAAATACTAGTATTGAGCATGGCTGCAGTCAAATACTGGCTAAATGTTTCTCTACAGAAATGATAAGTCTTATTGGTTACAGAGATAGCAGTAGTGCAGATTTCTAAGAGTTTGGTTTACAATGGTTTTACCATCTTCTGTATTCCTCAAGACAATATTCTAATAATCTGACTCTCAAAAGGGTCTGTATACCATAGTACTGTTTCACAGAGCACCACAAAACTATAGGTTCTATTAATTTAACGCGTGAAAAAGCAAACCCTATAGTCTAGCAGTGCAAAACTGCAGGTTAACGTTGTCAATGAAGAAACACTTCTTTACATCACAATTTCTACGAAATTATACAGTTCATAAATGTTACAAGTGTCTTGACATTTACTTAAATGAAATGAAAAACAAAGCTATGATCAAAGCTAACAGTTGTCTTGATTACAGGGAAGTATTAAAATAAGGCAATATGAAAATAAAGCGATTTGTAACTGTGTGATACCAGAAGCAGTTCAGATACACAACCACATTGCATGTGCCCTCAGAAACATACTTGGTTTAAACTCAATTGAAACATCAAAACTGTATTGATAAAACAAAAAATGCCTTCAATCAACTTTTCTGCAAATGCAATCACGTCGCTATCATAGAGTTTCTACAAACATATTAAGTAAACTAAAACTGAACAAATGTCATTCCCTTGAAAACAAAAATGTTGAATTGATTATATATCCAACATTCTGATGGTGGCGACCTTAATTATTCCGCTTGCACTGCCACGTAGAACGGCCATTGTCCTGCAGTTTTTTCAATTTGTTTCCACAAAAGAGCCACCACATGAACCCGATTAAAATGCAGAATATCGATTCCAAATAATAGCCATCCAGTGTGGTCAAACAGGAGCCACCAGCCTTTATACAAAGCTGTGCGGGAGCAAAAAAATAAACGTTAATTGGAAAAGTAGCCGTGTTACCACAACAGCAGAATGATTTGCTCATAAAATTGTTGGAGAAAGGAACCATTTATTTTAGTGATTTATATATAAAGGATCACTCACTTCAGATTCTATGACCGATCCACAGCTTTGTTCCTGTGCACCTGTACACTCCTTGACTGTAAGCGGGTCAACCAACCAGAGAGCGACTGTTGCTGGCCAATTGCCACCCAGATTGGAAACTGTGTTCAAAAGAGTCATATACGTTCCTCCAATTGAAGGATCACTGATTTTGGCATTGAATGCCATGGTTGCAACATACATGCTGTACAGTGTTACCTAATAGGACAAAATATTCAAGAAGTTTAAATAAAGCAGAGCGAGCACATGCTGCTAGTTTATGCAGCACTGAATTTTAAACCATGCACCAAAACTGTAGTGATGAATTTACTGATTAAAACCAGAACTTAATTTGGAGTACAACAGTCTTCAATAGAACTCCTTCCCACTGTATTTGCAAGATTCACTTTCGTCGCCCCTTTAATCCCAAATTATAAACTTCATTGACCTACATCCCAAACACCAGCAAAAAGAATACTTTGCCTCCTCTCCCGTTACAGATCAGGCATTGAATTAGTTAACACTGAGGAAGGCTTCAACATGATTCATGCAATCAGTGGGGTGAAAAACAGGAAAGGCAGTATTTCTCTTTGTGGGCCACGTCAGTCATCGACAAAAGAACGTGGCATTTTGGCATCACAGGCGATCAATCCCTAACCCAGGAAGTGATTAAGCCAATTGAATTGCATCCAACTGCAGCCTTGGCTGAGATGGACTAACTCACCTGGTGTAATGCATAACTAAACAGCAAAACTGCGTAATAATAAGCTGGAAACTCTGTCCCCTGCTTCACAATGGAGGTCCACCAAACCAGCACAGCAAACACCAGGCCCATCAGCAACCTGGGAAAGGGACAACAATCATTTGTGTTTTAATAAAGAGTATTACAGGTAAAATAAGTAATCCTAGTAATCTGATGAAGTCCATAAAAATTGTTTAATCCTTAGATTGCCCTCAACTTCTGATTCCTGTATGTTGACCATTTCTGTCTATTCTTGGCACAAATTCTAATGTTTGTGCCCCTCCTCTCACACCCCCCACCCATTACCTCAAACAGTTACTCTAACATTAGAGTAACTTTATTAGTGTAACATTAACTCTATCCAACTGAAAATATTTAAAAAATAAACATTTAAAAGCTCAATTAATTCTTGCCTGGTCATCTTTCTTTTCTATTTTCTCCTTATTCTGCCTTTTTATTTTAGCTTTATACAATGATGGTTTCCAGTTACCTGTATGGCATAGCACTGTAGAAAACATCCAATGGGCGTGGGCCAGCTGTATATCTGCTTATCACAAAAGGGAGCATTATTTGCAGAGGAACCATGGGCACAGCGAGGAGAGCCAGTTGCTCTTTTGGTACACCCAATTCGACCAACTTCAATCCAGTGACTGCGTCAGCAGCTGAAAATCCAATCTGAAATATACAATATATCAGGTTGATTACAAGGCCATCAAAGAATTCAATACAGCAACTATTGTTCCATAGATGCTGCCTGACCTGCTGAGCGTTCCCAGCGACTTCTGTTTTTGTTTCAGATTTCCAGCATCTGTAGCATTTTGCGTTTTGCTGCAACTATTGCTCTTCTGCATAAAATGGACTTCATTCAAGGACGATTGAAAAACTCATGGAAAAGTGCTGAGTGTTTTTCCCCATGTAATACACTTTGTTATGGAAGCAATATAATTTTGCTGTTTGCTAACCAAATGTTATCAAAACAAGTACGTAGCAATTTCACAGATTGCAGGATAAACATTTTTTCTGACTGACCTTTGAATAGCTGACAATAGCTTTATCAGATTTGTTTTCCAAAATAATTTGAATTCATAAAACTCCAAAGCCCTGAGATTTTAAATCTGAACCCGAAAAGCAATTCTCCTCAAAACTTTGAAAAGGCAATATGTACGTAAAATACAAAACTCAAGAGCTTGCAGTTTTTCAACTCATTCCTAATCTTCTGAGATGTTGTATTCTTAACAATGTAGCACCAAACCAATAACCAAAAATTGGAAAGCAAGGAAGCCACAATGCAAAAACTATTTTTTTTAACGCTCAGTTATTATATTTGCACCTGTATTAAAAAGTCAGCAGCTACAAGTTTGTTCAAACTTGCTTGAGTTCATCGGCTTACTTTGGATGTTAGAAGCATAATGCAGAAAGTGAGGACAGCAGGCAGCTTGATTATACAGAGCAGCGATTTGTAGGTTTCTTGGATTCCTTGATGTACTTCATCCTGCGCTTCTCCCGCACGTTCCTTTTTAAATACTGCGACCAAAGTCGTGACCACTAAGAATATTATTCCCCAGAAAAACAGAAAATCTAAAGTATGAAAAAGCAATACATTAGTGAAAGATCTGGCATTGATTAATTACGAGCATGAAATACTTGTGTATTTTACTTGATTTTTTTTGAAAATAATTCATAATATTGCCACACTAGTTGCGTCTTACAATATGGACAGTCATGATCATTTTATTTTCCATTAAATGAGGAATTTCACTGCATGGTCCCCCTCCCAAATACATCCAACTTCTACATACATTCCAAGATCCTGCAGAGAAACACCTCATTATTCTCTTCCCTTGATTGAATAGTTAACAGGTGAAGCTTACTGTATGGCATATTATAATCCCAAACTCTTTCATAAAGGATCATCTTAAGAAGGAACTCCTTGAATTCCTTGAAGTAAATGTTAACTGCAGTCACAAATAAAGCTTTCCAACGGAAAATCATGCATGTGCATTCAACGAGTAGCAACTATTGCAGCAAAATTAACTGATACTGTTAAAATACAACTGACGTAAATTTACTTTGGCACTGTACCCGAGAGAGTGACAATTCCGGTGGGTTGAGGCTGAGAACGTAAATATTTGTTGCAGAAGTTCGCTGATTCCAGTGCTAAGAAGAGCACATTACCCAGAAAGTAGCCTGCTGTCTGTCCAACTGAATTGCAAGTGGAGGCATATCCTACGTTCTCTCTGGACAACATAGTCAATGCCCAGCCATCCACCGCTATATCCTGAGTAGCAGCCAGGAACTCAAACAGAAAAAACACAGCTGTAATTGTGACAATGTCAGGGCTGGTGTGCTCATCGCTTTTTAATAATGATTCCACTTGAAGTGATAGATAAAGCATAAAGAGCCCTAGAAGATACTGAGTAGGCACTAGCCAAGATTTTCTCCGTCCGAAGCTTGGCAAATAAACAGCATCCACTAAGGGAGCCCATAGCAGTTTCAAACTAAAAGGCCAGAAGACAAAGCTGAAAAAAGCTTGATCTGCGTAACTGACGTTCTTGCTTTGCAGGATAAGTGGGATGCTTCCAGCCAGACCAAGTGGTATTCCCTGTAAGACATAGAGGAATAGAAGCAACAGAATATTGTTCAACTCCCCCTTAATGCCACCATGTCCTCTATGGTCAGATTGGGGCAATCTATTGTCATAATCCTTCAAAAGTTCTCTGCTTTCTTCAACCTCCACATTGGTCACATTATGCCACGCTTCATCAACTTGCATGCCATCAGTCTCAAGCTGATTCTGAATACGTTGTCTGCTGCCCTCTCTGCGTTCAACTGTTGACGGCATGTCAGGTCCAAAGTCGTTCAATCAAAACTTCCCGTTAATGAGCCTAAAAATGCAAAGAACATAGCGTTAACGATTTCATAACAGGAGGTAGTTTCTCCCGGTGACAATCCCTCCCCCATTCCGTCCCCAGCATTCGCTTCACAGTTCGCGGGACATTGCTGGGCACAAATTGACCTCCAAAAACAGTCACTGTAGAATCTTGCAGAGAAAGCACTGTGAGACGTCCTCCTGGGGTGAAAGGGCGCTATGTGAAACGCCAGGATGGATGTTATTATCATCACCATCGGCGGCAGCAGCGGCAGTTATTATTCCTGTCGGTTCTTCCCATCAGTTGGACTAACACAAAGCCACATCACTTCGCCCACAAAACGTACAGTCACAACAGCAGCAGCAACAACGACGACGACGATGACGGGCATTTCTACAGCGCCCCTCAGCGCAGGGGAGCGTCCCGGGGAAACGCTGGAGACGCTTCGCGGCCCGAGTGATCGGGGGCTCTGTCAAATGCCAGGATTATAATATTATTATTATGATTATCATTTAACACAAAACAGGGCTGGTCTTTGAGCTGCTGGGGAGGGGAGTGGGGGGGAGGGGAGTGGGGGGGGGGGGGGGGGGGGGGGGGGGTGAGGGGAGGGGGGGGGTGAGGGGAGGGGGGGGTGAGGGGAGGGGGGGTGAGGGGAGGGGGGGGGGGGGGGGGTGAGGGGAGGGGGGGGTGAGGGGAGGGGGGGGTGAGGGGAGGGGGGGTGAGGGGTGAGGGGGGGGGGGGGGGGGGGGTGAGGGGGAGGGGGGGGGGGTGAGGGGAGTGGGGGGAGAGGGGAGGGGGGGGGGGGGGGAGTGGGGGGTGAGGGGAGTGGGGGGTGAGGGGGGGAGAGACCAAAGAATAAACAGGGAAGAGGGAAGCGAGCTGATGGCATCATCATCAACAACAACAACAACAACTTGCGTGTCTGTGTGTAACTGCCCTTGAACAGCGGCACCGGCCACACAGAGGCGAGGAGAGGCCTTCCCGGCCCGACCCTGCCCGGCCCCCCGGGCACCTCAGCCCTCCCCCTCCCCCCCTCACTCACTCCATCACTCACTCCATCACAGCCCATCTCTCCTCTCCTCTCTCCCCCTCTCCCTCTCTCTGTCTGTCAGTGCTGCTCAGCCTTTCCCGCTCTCCTTCCCCTCACTCACTCCCTCCCTCCCTCCCTCACTCACCTGCTCCCGCTCTCCTGACGTGGCTGCGCGCTATGGGTCGCCTTTGGCGACAGCGGCCCCCGGCGGCCGGCGGCGGGAACTGCAGCGCTTACCACCAAGCGCTGGGGGGGGGGGGGGGGGGGGGAGTGTGTGTGTGACCAAAAAGGCTACTTTGTAGCCCAAAGTCCACCAGGTACCTACTAATAGCCCAAAAAGTAGCCCAAAGTAGCCCAAATATTTTAAAGTCAGTGCTTTTTGCAGACTGTCTAAGGAAAGATCTTCAAGGGGGGGGAGGGGGGATGGGACACATACAACACGCACAGCATGCGCACACGACAAGCACACACACACTCACAACAACTTGCACTTATATAGTGCATCTCGGAGCGCTTAACAGTGACGGAGCCTGTCTCCGAGTTGGAGTGGGTGGGGGGCGAGGTGGCCGTAAGCACGGCCGAAGAGGAAGGTTTTCAAGCGGGTGGGACACTGCTGTGCGCAATTGGCTGCCGCGTTTCGCACGCAAAGTATACAGTCACTCTATTTTACAATGTATTCTATAAAGCGCTTTGAGACATCTCGACTACGTGATAAGGTGCTATATCAAATGCAAGGATTATTATTATCTGGCAATTATTTACACGGACCTTTTCCTCATTTGCTTGAATTCCAGTGTTGTGTAAAGCCCAGTAATTATTAAAAGGATCACAGTGCATGGATTTTTATTACATAATTGAGTATGTTACAACTTCAATCAAAATCATTAAAAAAGTGCTTCAATTAAAAAAGATTCTTTCTCTTGATCTCATGTTCTGGGAGTCATTTGATGTCAAAGAAAATAATAACTGTTCAAATGGTATCAATCAATTCAAATCAACAGCACAAACTTGTTGCATTTGCATTGAGCTCTAATTTAGACCCCATTCATTCTTTTGGCCAGGAAATGAAGAGAAGCTTCACTATTGTGCAGTTATATTGTATCATGTGGATTGGGATTTTTTTAAAATCAATTGCATTAGAAATAATGAAATTTAAATTGAGTACAAGGTACTCATTCAAAAGTCAGTCTATTTTAGTACGTTATTTGAAAAAGAATACAGCTGGTTGTCTTGATGGATATGCTTTGAATACCAGCTAGGGGATATTTTAGTTAAGGCTTTGATGTTTCCCTAGACAGACAGAGGAAAACTGAAGCCTGAAACAACTGGCATCATCAAGAAAAACATTGACATAGCCTCAGTTCAAGTGACAACAAAGGAGGAAGATGAGGCCTGAGCACTTTTAAAATCATGTATGATCCAAGTGTGGAATGACAAATTGAACGGAGTCCCATTGATGTTACCTCTCCTCAATGCTGCCTTCCAATGGTTTGATTTGGTATCACAGCATAAACAAAACGCTGTCGTTTCCTGAAATCAAAGCCAACATTATTAGATATATTATTAACAATAATAATTTGGTCACTTCAATCCACCACTATTTCATGGGACGCTGCTGTGCGCAATTGGTTGCCGCGTTTCGCCCACAAAATATCCAATCAATTCGCTTTACAGTGCATCCCGTGAAGCGGTTTGAGACGTCGCGAAGACGTGATAAGGGGCTGCATCAAACGCAAGGATCATTATTGTTAATATTATCATTATAATAATCCTTGCATTTAACACAGACATTATTATTAATTGATATAACAATCCTCGCGTCCGATACAGCGCCTCTCATCGCGTCTTCGAGACGGGTAAAGTTTTGTGCGCGACAATAATAATAATTATTACCATATAACAATAACAATAATTATTATTATTGGTTTTATTTGCTTGCACGTGACGTGATGATGGGGTGGGGGGGGGCTGGTGTGGGGGGGTGGGGGGGGGGGGTCTGGCTCAGCAGCGCCACCTCCTGGGTGGGTTGAGAACTCACGGGTGCGCATGCGTAGACGAGGGACAGCCAGACGCGCGTGCGCACGCGGGGGGGGGGGGGCGAGGCTCTCGGAGGGCGGGTCAGCACAGCGCAAGCGCAGTCAGGAGGGGGGGGCGGGGCTTGGCGGCATTGTCAGCGCGCGCGCGCGCGGTGTGTGCGCGTGTTCGTTCGGCGCCAACAGCAACGGCTCGTGAGAGAGAGAGAGAGGAGAGCGAGAGAGGAGAGAGAGAGAGGGAGAGAGAAAGAGGGGGGAAGTTTCCAGCACCCAAATGGCACTATGCAACGGCGACACCAAGGTCAGTCGGGGCCGGGGGGCGGCGGACAGACGAGCGAACCCCCCCCTCCCCCTCTCTATTACCTCTCTCTGCCCTCAGGGCTCCGCTGTGGATCGGGCGGTGATGATTGTTTTGTGTGAGGAGGCCGCGAGGAGATCGCAATCCCGGGCCCCCGCTCTGTCTGTCCGTCCGTCCGTCTGTCCGTCTGTCTGAGGGAAGGGGGTTGTTGCGGCCTCTGTTTGTCGGGGTGGGCTTCAAGCGGCCATTCAGCCGCATGAGTGAAGGAGGGAGGAAGAGAGAGAGAGAGAGGGAGGGAGGGAGGGAGGAAGGGGAGAAAAGAGGGGAAGTGGGGGTGGGGTGTGGGGGGTGCGAGGACGGGGCGGGTTGGTTGGTTGGTTGGTGCTGGAGGCGGTGGTAACCCGCCAAGCGGCCATTAAAATAACTCGGGACGGAGAAGCTTCGAGATGGTTAAGGTTTTGGGGTCGCGCGCGGCCCGAGAGAGAGAGAGAGAGAGAGTGAGTGAGGGGGAGAGGAGGAGGAGGGCCGCGACCGGCGCCGCTCGAGCTGCGCGCGCGCGTGTGTCTGTGTGTGTGCGCGTGTGACGGTGAACTCGGTGTGTAACGCCCCCCCCATTCCTCGCCTCTCCAGGGGTTCGGGACGGGTTATGGTAGGAGCTGTTCCCGAGGCCCTGGGGGGGATGGGGGGGGTGGGGTGTAACGCTGGGCCTCGGCCCTGGGGGGTGAGAGAGAGAGAGAGAGAGGGGCTTCTCGGTGATTCTTGTCGGCGGGTGCAAAATGGCCTTTGTCCGCATGGGCGCACTTAAAGGTGCCTTAAAGGTGCGGGGGGGCTCGTGTCTGTCTGTCTGACTGACTGACTGCACAGCCAACTTTTGTTTGCTCGCACTTGTCATCCATGAACGTGTTTGGGACCCACTCGCACGATGCCTGTCCGAAGTAGTCGAACCTGGGCTTTTATGGCCCTCATGTTCTTTGACACTGAGCAGTTTAATAATAATAATAATAATAATAATCCTTGCGTTTGACACAGCGCCTTATCGCGACCTCGAGACGTCTCGAAGAACTCTTCGAAGGATATACGGTCGAGCGAATTGACTGTGTATTTCGTGGGCGAACGATTATTTAAAAGATTATTCTTGTGGTGCACGCACTATGAGCAGCTCAGCTCATTCCTTTTATTTGGACCCAGAGTATCTATGTAAACAGTTGTCAAGCTTCAATAGGCTGCACCTTTTTTATATATATATATATATGATATATATTAGAAATCCTGGTGGTAGATGTTGTAAATGTTTTAAGGAGTTTTTTAAAAAAAAATTGGCTCACTGTGGGTATACAGTACTTTGGGTTCCTTCAGTGCACTACAATTTTGAGTTAAGAATATGCTTCCTCTTGAGTTATCGCCCAGAATTTTTATGTTAATCCTATTTGAAAACAGTTTGCATAGTTTTTTAAAAAAAGTAAAACCCAATTTAGATAATTTAGTATGAATAAAAAGATTAGTTTAAAAAAACAGCTTAGACTGCTTTTAATAATGCAAGCTATTAAAGATGGCTTTTGGGTCACCCGAAGTGCAGTTGGTTTACTGATATCTTTTGTGTGACCTAAAGTGTGATTTTTTTACTTTTAACAGATTGTTTTACTTTAGGGAATCTCGATATTAATTCACAGATGCCCAAGTTGTGAAAAGACGGTACCAGTTGCACCCAGCGAGTACTACCTTTTGTTAGCTTGGGTGATGCTGTATTAATATCCAGGCTGGTCTGAAATGAGTTCTGTGTGAGTGATGATCTGCACTGGGACACTTTTCATAAATAAAGGTGCATAGGGAAAGTGGGTGGCTAAATTGAAGATTGCTTCAAGAGATAGGTTTACACTCCTATTTTTTGTAAAAATATATGATTATAAAATGCTCCCTCCCACAGATATTTGTGTTTATTTCATGCTGTACTAAGGCTGCTCATTCATTGATACGAAATACTGTAATGGATGGTTTAAAGGGTTAAAAGGCTGACATGCTCTTAACTCAACTCCCAGTAGCCGAATCATGTACGGATAGTGCTATGTCCTGAAGCACATATTTGGTGAGAACTGACTTGAACTGTAAATTGCTGGGAACACTCAGCAGGTCAGACAGTTTCTATGGAGAAAGAAAAGTGAGTCAACGTTTTGGGTCCACGACCTTTGTCAGAACAATCGTCAGTCTTTCGTTATAGATGCTGGATAGATGCTGCCTGACCTGCTGAGTATTGCCAGCCACTTCTGTTTTTGTTTTCAGATTCCCTGCAGTATTTTTGTGTTTTGAATTGTAAATTGTTTGAGACAAATCTTCAGGGGACTGGTGTGATGTGATACAAGATTTGCACCTGTCTTGAATTGGCTTGGGTGACCATATTATTATTATTACTTAAAACAATATTTGTGATTTGAAACTTGTCTGAAGATCCATTCAAGCAATTTTTAAAAAAAAGGTTACTCCTTTGGAAGAAAGCATTCAATGTAAACTTTTAAATTCTGTTGCAATATTCATAATGTAATATTGCCAATTACTGTTAGTTTAGTTGCTAACAGAAAAGTTACTTATACGTTTAAAAATTAGGAATTTGGTTGGAGAATAGCTAAAAGGAAGCTGAAGAGGTTTTGTTCACCTTCATACCCCTCAATGGCCTTGCTTCTCCCTACCTCTGCGACCTCCTAACCCCCTACCAACCTGCCCGCTCCGTCTGCTCAGCGGGCTCCGGCCTGCTTCACATCCCCCACCTCGCCATTAGCAGGCGGGCCTTCAGCCACGCCCCCCCACCCTCGGGAACTCCATTCCATCCCCCCTTGCCTCCTTCAAGACCGATCTCAAGTCTCTCCTCTTTGACCGTACCTTTGATCATCAACAACAAAATGACATTTGTATAGCGCTTTTCACGTCAGGAGGAAGTCCCAAGGCTCTGATCAACCTCCTGCCCTCTACCCTCCTCGATTCTGACCCCCAGCTTGGGTCTGAAACACTGACTGTCCAGCACCTTGGGACATCCTACCGACGTGAAAGGCGCAATACAAATGTAATTTTGTTGTTGTCAAATGCAGCATCACTTTGTCTAAACCAATGGTGGTGACAAATGTTGACTTTTTCAGTGCGCGTATGAAAATGAGCCAATGGTTAAAGAGTTGATAAATATTTGTAAATATACAGCAGGAAAGAATAACTAGATTATACAACTGCCTTGGAGGCATTAGTACCAACAATCGGCACATGGGCTGAATTGCTGCTTGGTGGACTGTAATTTCTTTGATTGAATATTCAATTAGTTTTCCAGTTCCCGTGTTCTCTCCTTGTCCACTTTGGTAATGTCAGTAGTGTTGATGAACTTCTCAACTCTAGCAAACATGGGACTGGTCAGTGCTATATTTTCTTTCTGGTTGTTTGGATGGTTGCCAGTCCTTCTGAAATGCTGAGCCCTATTGAAATGAATAGTTCACTCCTGGATGCATTTCGCTTTTTCTGTAACTGACGACACTGGAGAGGCCTAGCAGAAGAGACACAAAATACCAGGATTCTGTGATCATGGAAATTCTATGTAATTTCACGAATAAAATATGTGTAACTATTGGGATTGGGATCTATACTTTGAACAAAGTACTGTACTCCCAGTCATCTCACAATTCTTCCCTTCTAAGGTATTCTCAGTGACATTGTGTATTTATGGAAATTAATAAATGACAATATGTATAAAAAAAATATTTTTATTGCAACTGTTGTAAAAAAAAAGCTATTACATGTCTTCTGCAATGATCAGTATTGTTTTTTGCTAACAGGACGCTGCTGGAGGAGACATCAAGGATGTTGGACATCAATACGAAGGGGCTTTAGTGATTCTTGATGCAGGAGCTCAGTATGGCAAAGTGATTGACAGACGTGTAAGAGAACTGTTTGTGCAGTCAGAAATCTTGCCCCTGGAGACCCCTGCTTTTGCAATCAAAGAGAATGGTTTTCGGTAAGAACTAATCTTTGTATCTTTTCAAATCATATTAGCATCTTACTTAATCTATTGTTATCATGTTATTCAGACAAGTGAAGACCCAGTGTTTTTTCTTATGATTTTTCCTGCCTGTTGGTTATTTCTCATCTCGAGTTATTTAAGATTCAGTGTTTACATTAAGTGAATTTAAATAAATTCTTGTAGTTGAAGAGTGCCTATGCCTTCAATTGATGATGGTTAATACAACTACAAATTTTACAGGGGTGGCTGCACAGTATTCTACAATCTTACTGGTGTACAAATGCTTTGAAGCACTATTTTGTTTATTGCACTATTTCTATTGTTTTCATTGTTATCCAACCATTCCATACTAGTTTTATCTTAACCTAAAACTTCAATCTATTGTTTTTAAAAGGTTTATTCAGACAGTCCCTTTAATTATCAGATTGTTGACAAATCCTTTTAGTATAATTTACTAGAAGTAGAAGTTCTCTGTTTAGAAACTGGAATGCATCATTTATCATTCATTTGTGATTGATCTCTGCTGAGTGATCCAAGTGACATGCATGCATGTACTTTATTCTTAACAGCATAATCTGCTGCTACAGGAGTCCTGCAGCGTATTGGTTAGAGCACTTGCCTCTCAAGCGAGAGGACCCGGGTTTGATTCCTGGTTGTGGCAAAACTGTAGGCAAGTTTCTCCACATGTCAATGTTTACCTATCAATCAGTAGGAACCTGGTTGTTAGTCAATTGACGATTGCTTTCTAGGGGTAATAATCCCTTTTTTAAAAAAAAATGTGGTCATTGAATGCATGACAATTGGCTGCTGCGTTTTGCCCAGAAAATGTACAGTCAATTTACTTTACAGTACAATCTGAAGCGCTTTGAGATGTCACAATGATGTGATGAGGTGTTATATCAAATGCAAGGATTATTTATAATAATTCTTGCATTTGATATAGTTCCTGTAATTTCAGTAATGTCTCAGAGCACTTCATGAAGTACTTATAAAGTGTATTTATAGGCAAAAGTGGTGTCTATTTGAACACATTTTCACACATGCATCAAATTAATTTTTTTCTGGAGTATTATTGACTAGGATACTGGGAAAGACTTCTCTTTTTGAATAGTGCCCCAGGATCTTTAACTTGCACCTGAACAGGCAGAAATTACCTTGGATTAATGTCTTATCTGAAGTATGACATCTCTGATAATGCAGCACTCCCAAGCTTGTTATCTTGGATGATACAATTTGCTGTGAGAAATATACTTAATTTGATTACAGTACAATGTATTGCTGGTAAAATAAGATACTTGAATCTCTTGTTTTTGTAATGTTGAGGTAGAAGTTTGTTTTCTGCTGTTTCAATTGGTGATCAGGAGAGTTACATAACTTGCTTTCTTACCCAGAATCGAAAATACAGCAAATGAGAAACTTACCAAATATTTACTGCCTTGCAGAGCTATCATCATATCTGGAGGCCCAAGTTCTGTATATGCAGAAGATGCCCCGTGGTTTGATCCAGCGATATTTACAATTGGCAAGCCTGTTCTTGGAATTTGCTATGGGATGCAGGTATTGTTAATATGAAGCAGTTGGATGTTGATCCACTAACGTGAGTGTTTGATTTAAAAAAAGGTTAATTCAGAAATTAAATTTTCATGTATAATCTTTTGGTTCAGAGGATGCCATGGGGTTTGCTTTGTCAAAAATACTTTTGTTTTTCCCAATAATGTAGGACTGAGTTTCTACTGACTGAATGAGAAGAATAAATTCATAAGTTACTTTTATGTTGCTTCGTCTTCAGTAAATTAAAATATCTAATTGAATGTAAGGGAAAGTTGTTGTTTGTCTTCTGTAGTTGATGGCACTTTTTTTAAATTTCACAGATGATGAATAAAGTTTTTGGAGGTACAGTCCATAGAAAATATGTGAGAGAAGATGGAGTGTTTAAAATAAATGTGGACAATAGCTGTTCATTATTCAGGTATTGACAAAAACTTGTTGATGGGTCTCTTAGGTTTATTTTCCTATTGAGAAATATAGAATCAAAAGAGTTAATGATCTGCAGTAATTTGAATGTTTTGAATGGCATGTGGAAGGGCTACCAGCCAATAACAATTAAAATTGAGATGCATCATAAAGTATTGTTATTTTGCAGTTGCATTTGATATTTTGGGAAAATATAGAACCCATGTGTTTAAAAAGTGGACAGTGGATACTCGGTGTATACATTTTTTTAAAAAATTGTCAACTGTTTGATCACTTCCACGTTACATACTTTATAGACCAGATAGTAATTGTCCCTCTGCTTTTCTTATTCTCCTGTAAAGTTTTCTCAAGTTGATTTAACAGTATAAATGTAAGTGCTTTAATGAATATTTTAGAATAATTGCTCAGTTCCTTCCCCTTAGGAAAACAAACCCAAATCATTGAGAATTATTTCAAGAAGGTGTCTAGCCTTTTGATGCATGCCTTTGCCTAGTTTTGAACTCCTGCCTCTTTTTTATGTTGGCCTCCTTCAGATAACTTATTCTCATGTTTGTTTTTTACATTTTGTTTACAATTTCTTTCTGCTTTCTTCCAGAGGTCTACAGAAAGATGAGCTTGTACTGCTTACTCATGGTGACAGTGTGGACAAGGTGGCAGAGGGCTTTAAAGTGGTTGCACAATCTGGAAACATTGCAGCAGGTATACTTGTCCAGTTGAGCAATGAATAGTAAGTGATCCATGGTCAGCACAGGTTTTTATCAACATAAAAATCCAAATCAATTCCTGTTTTTTTAAAAAAAATTCTTCCCAAAGATGTACATCAACCCAGTGCAGATAAGTTTCTCCCAAACCTCTGCATATGCCATTTTAATGTTGTTGCCAAAAATGTGTTTGGTCAATGTAATTTTCTGATTTGCCATGACTCCCACAGCACAGCTGAGATTGGGCACTCAATGTGTGGTGCATCAAAGGCCCAAATGCAATGGCATACCAAAAAGTGGAAAAAGTTCATCTTTTAGGTGATTTTTTAAAAAAAAATTGTGTTTGCAGATAAAGTAAAGCAATTTTAAATATGGATTATTTTCATTAGTTTGGAACAGTAATTAGTTTGTGTTTGTTTTATTGTGATTATAATTATGAATGTTAATTTTCTGTTTGATTAATTTACACAGCAATAGCAAATGAATCTAAAAAGCTATATGGTGTTCAGTTCCATCCGGAAGTAGACTTGACTGAACGTGGCAAGGACATTTTGAAGAATTTCTTGTTTGATATTGCTGGTTGCAGTGGCACCTTCACAGTGGAGAATAGAGAAGCAGAATGTATCCGAGAGATACAAGAGAAAGTTGGACATTCCAAAGTTTTGGTACGTTTAATCAATATTGGAATTTTCCATCGACTCGTTTAAAGGCTCAACACAAGTGATGGAATAAAGTTACAGTAACAATTTTTTCAATAAACTATTATTGAATTGTCTTTCAACAATGTGAAATTCTAACTTCAGAACTTGTCTGCAGGTTTTGTTGAGTGGAGGTGTGGACTCCACAGTGTGTACAGCATTGCTGAATAAGGCTTTGAATCCAGACCAAGTAATTGCTGTCCACATTGACAATGGTTTCATGCGGAAAAGAGAGAGTCAGTCTGTGGAGGAAGCCTTGAAGAAACTTGGCATTAAGGTTAAAGGTAAAGCCATTTTTTAATTTCGTAATCTGAAATAAGTCAGTTTATTTCCATTTATCTTTAAGGGTCAATATTAGTAACCTGCTGTTGGTGTAAGCTTCTAATCTCCTGCTCCCCAAGCTTCCAAGTTGTGATTGTGAATGTCTTGTTAAAAAGAAGAGGTTAATCATGTTGGTTTTTTAAAAAAAACACAATATTGGTGAACACGGTTAAAAAGAACTTGTGTACACTAAAAAAAATTTAATCAATTTCTTGCTGTAGTTTAACATGTTATTTTTTTGCCTAGTGGTTAACGCAGCACATGCATTCTACAATGGGACAACAACTTTGCCAATTTCAGAAGAAGACCGAACTCCCAGGAAGAGAATTAGTAAGACCTTAAATATGACCACAAATCCAGAAGAAAAAAGAAAAATAATAGGGGATACCTTTGTGAAGGTATGTTTTGACATTTCTTTGTTGACCTGAAACTTTGTTTTTAAGCAGAAAAAGTTCTTAATTGCGGTGCATTCCTAACGATGTCTATAAACATAGATTGAATTCATTGCTATCACATCGCCAATATTATATTCCATCTGCTACTAACTATTTCTGCTATTATTGCTCATGTGCAAGAGATGGAAGAAACTGGCTCATTTAACCCCCTTTTGATTTTCAGCCCTCCTATTTAATTATTTATTTAAAACAGTGGTACAAGTTTCACACGCTCTCTTGAATTGAGGAGTAATATAAATTGCATGATACAATTTAATCACAAGATATTTGTAATCATGCTAAATGAGGGTCTTGTATATGTTTTTACATGTGTCTCATGCTATTTGATAATCTCTCTATTCTAGGTCGCCAATGAAGTAATTGGGGAAATGAATCTGAAGCCTGAGGAAGTGTACCTTGCACAAGGGACTTTGAGACCAGATTTAATTGAAAGTGCCTCAACAGTAGCAAGTGGCAAAGCAGATGTTATTAAGACCCACCATAATGACACAGAATTGATAAGAAAGTTGAGGGAGGAGGTGAGTTTTTGTATTTTGCTTAGTGTACAATATACACCACTGTCACCTACAAAACAGTCACTTTGTGGTAAATCCTGTGATGCATTTTGGGATCTCATTGTGGCATGAGAGATGCTATGTCAAATGCACAGTTTTTTTTATGGTAAGCACAAAAGTTATTAAATTTGATGCTTGATCCAAACTTAAACTATCTAGGTTACCCTTGATACTATGGTTTACATGCAGTAAACTGTGTACTTGTTTTGCACTTCAGTTTTCAGTTGACCAAATGTTATCTGTCTGCAACAGACAGCAATTTGCTAACTAGCCTCCTGCAGCTTGGTAATTAGAGCACCCGCCTCGCAAGGGAGAGGACCTGGGTTCGATTCCTGGATAGAGCAATACATTGGGCAAGTTTCCTTACTCCACACGCTTCTGTTTACATAGCAGTAACTAGGAACCTAGTTGTTTGCAAGATCGCTTTTCTGGGGATAATAATAATCCCTTCAAAAAAAAAGATAATAATTTGGTCACTCAATCCACGACTTTGTCGTTTGTGGACACTGTAGTGCGCAATTGGCTGCTGAGTTTTGCCTGCAAAATATACAGTCAATTTACTTTACAATATATTCTGTGAAGCGCATTGAGATGTCTCGAAGACGTGATAAGGTGCTATATCAAAGGCAAGGATTATAAGATTATTATCTGTTTAATTTAGCCGCAATGAGTAACCTTTCACAATTTGGTATTGAAGAGAATGTTAATTTTGGGTTTTGTAGGGCAAAGTGATTGAACCACTTAAAGACTTTCACAAGGATGAGGTGAGGGCACTTGGCAGAGAATTGGGTCTCCCTGAAGAACTTGTTTCTAGACACCCATTCCCAGGTAAACAAAATCAAAATCTATCCACGTTAAACCATAAATTCCTCTTTTTAATTATATTTAAAGGACTTCTGTGTTTTTTTTAAGGCCCTGGTCTTGCCATTAGAGTAATCTGTGCTGATGAGCCTTTCACCTGCAAAGACTTTGCGGAAACTAACAATATTCTGAAAATAGTAGCGGACTTCTCTGCAAGTGTGAAAAAAGTAAGTGAACTGTGGGTATTTGATGCCAAAGGTAAGTTTTTTTACTTTAAATTTTCGTGTAGACTTATAACTGCCTTTCCTGTTTGATATAAGCCATGTGACCATCTATGAAATGGGGGAGGGGGAGAGAGGACATTTCAGGGATTTTTTTAAATCTAAAAGTTATGCAGTTAGTTATGCTGTAATACCACTCCACTGCAGACCGTGCTCAATAAAGACCGTAATTTATCTTGTCTGTACCAGAATTGGAATAATAAAATATCACATTTTTATCTGGATACAATTGAGTGGCATTTATGATGGTTCTTTATTCTGATGAATTTTTACATAAGCACTTGTTGTTGATCAAAAGTCTAAAACAACATTTTGTTTCAATATTTATAGAAAATATTGTGCAGTTTTAAACCTGTTGTAAACACCATCAGCACTGATTAGAAATGAATTTTTTAACCAAGCTCAAAAGAATTACCAGGCTTTAGAAAATGTTTTTTAAATGTCGACTGTTAGAGAATTAGTACTTTGTGTTTAATGTAAGGGATAATTTTGTTTTGGTTGCTCAGTGAATAACAGTGTAATGAATGCATTTATTTTTCGTGTGTAGCCACACACTTTACTGCAGAGGGTCAAGTCGTGTACGAATGATGAAGAACAAGAGAGATTAATGCAGATCACAAGTCTCCATTCACTTACTGCTTTCCTGCTGCCGATTAAGACTGTTGGGGTACAGGTAGGTATTGCATTAAGAATAATAATCCTTTAATTTTTGTGTGAATCACAAAATGGAGCTGTTTTGGTGTTATTTATTGACTCGCGCTGCTTTGTTTTTTAATGTATGCCGTTATTTTTCTAATTTTCTCCTCCATTGGCACATGTTTCTCTTCCTGATCTCCAGCCTGCCCATGTTGAAGTACCATGGGCTCATCAGTATTATTGCATTGACCTGAATATGTACACAATTGCTTGGCACTGGGGATACTGGCATTTTTCTGAACCTGCTAGCAGTTTAAGGGTTAAAGCATGATCAATGTTACAATTAGATCATTGTAATTATAAGTGAGTCCTGTAGCTCAGTGGTTAGAGCACTCGCTTTGCAAGTGAGAACCTGAGTTCAATTCCAGGCAGGTCAGGGCCAAACCTTGGGCAAGTTTCCTTACTCCACACGCCTTATAATAATCCCTCCAAAAAAGAACAGTAATAAATTGGTCATTTTCAATCCATGACTGTTTGTGGGACATTGCTGTGCGCAATTGGCTGCCGCGTTCGCCCACAAGTGTACACTCAATTCACTTGACAGTATATTCTGTGAAGCGCTTTGGGACGTCTAGAAGACGTGAAAAGCGCTATATCAAATGCAAAGATTATTATAAAGGCTCATTTCACATTATTACAAAAATCAGATGAATCACTGCTTGTCGGCCGCCCCAACTCCTCCCTCCACAGGCTGCAGACTATCTAGAACTCTGCAGCTGATGTCCTCTCCTGCACTAGACTCTGCGACCCTATCACCCCCATCCTCGCCCAACTCCACTGGCTTCCCATCACACAGAGGATACAGTTCAAGATCCTGGTCCTCACCTGCAAAGCCATCCATGGTCTTGCTCTCCGACCTCCTAACCTCCTACCATCCTGTTTGCTCCCTCCGCTCAGCGGGCTCCAGCCTGCTTCACGTCCCCCACCTCGCTCGCCAGACCGCCACTCTGCTCTCACCCTCTGGAACTCCATCCCGCAGTCCCTCCGTCTCGCCCCCTCCCTCGCCACCTTCAAAACCCACCTCAAGATCCTCCTCTTCGATCGTGCTTTCGATCTCCCTGCTCCCTCCCCTCTCCCCCACCCTGACCCTCAGCGCGGGTCCGAAACACTGTCCAGAGCCTTGGGACGTCCTCCTGCTGTGAAAGGTGCTCTACAAATGTAATTTTATTGTTGTTGATGAAGGATTGTTGGAAGAGGAATAATAAGCAGCTGCATATTTAGACAAACTCAATCTTGGTATCCAAGTTCCAGTGTATTTGTGTTGCAGGGAGACAGCAGATCATATAGCTACGTTTGTGGTATATCTGGGAAGGATCCACCGGATTGGGAATCCCTCCTATTCTTAGCCAGACTTATTCCAAGAATGTGTCACAATATTAACAGGTTTGTTACTTGTCTTTACATGGTCTTAAAACGTGTAATAAGAACACTTACTTGTAAAGCCTCAGCTATCCTTTACTACATTCTTACTTACTGATATTAATATTCATGTTTCTTCAGAGTTGTGTATGTTTTTGGACCTCAAATCCGAGAACCCATCACAGACATAACCCCAACGTTCCTAACCACAGGAGTGCTTAGCACCCTCCGACAGGCCGACTTTGAGGCTCACAACATCCTGAGAGAGGATGGTAAGGATCCAGTTTTGTTTATTCATTACATTGGAAGAAATGTACATTAGTTAGTACAAAGGTCCATTGTTTTACAAAGTTAAATGGTCTTTACTTGTTATGGATAAGATTGCATGTGAATGCGGAATTATTTTGAATGAGGTTGTTGGCACAATTTTGGGCCAATTAGATAGATTGTACAGCACTTAATGTCTTTTCAGTTGATCATTTGAATATTTTGTATGATATTTCAAAAAAAAATTAGTCTTTCTATTATATGAATTGACAAAGGCACCCTTTGGAGACTGATTCTTTGTTTTTAAAAAAAACTTGAGGTCGTCTTGTTTTTAAAAACCTGGAATTTTTGCCATATTGGTGAATACAAAAAACTTACATTTCTTGTTTAGCACATGATGCACCAAACTACCAAGCCATTGCATCATCTGTCAAATTTCTGCTTCAAACTGAGAGGAAAGGTGAATTCAGCCACTGTTAAGATTTTTAGCTAATCTGTGATTTTATGTGAACAAATGAGGATAATTTTGTAAATGTTGATGTACCGATTGTGTCTGTTTCTCTAGGTTACTCTGGAAAAATAAGTCAGATGCCAATTATTTTGACGCCATTACATTTTGACCGTGACCCACTTCAGAAACAGCCATCTTGTCAGAGATCTGTCGTCATCCGAACCTTCATCACAAGTGACTTTATGACTGGTATCCCAGCAACTCCTGGCAAGCACATTTCTGAGGAGGTGCGTGTTTGAATTTCTTTAAGCTAAAATAACATTCAGTGATGCAGAAAGGAACTTCTGCTATTAGATAAAAGGATTCTATGATTGGATTAGCTTTAACTTGCAAAATAATTAGTCAGTGTCAAATATTAATGAAAAGTTTGTTTATGGCAAATGGCAGGTTATTTCTAAAATGGTGACAGAGATCAAGAAGATACCAGGGATTTCCCGCGTCATGTATGACTTGACTTCAAAGCCTCCTGGAACCACGGAATGGGAGTGAATAAACCTGAATCTGATGTATGAAACATTCCCAATATTAACACATACAGTACTGTGGAATTGTGACTGGAGCTGCTACTTCGCACCTATTTTTTTTCTTCCCCTCTGAAGCCTGATGTATAATTCAGTGTTTGAAAGGACTAAATTTAATGGGGCTAAGGATATGTACGGGTAAATGGATTCAGCATCAAACTGCTGGTAAAATTGTGATGCTTTTGCCAATGTATTTTGATGTTCTTTATAGATTGACTTGTCTGGTGTTTTGTACATCACAAGACAGTTCATTTACAGTACATTTACTAACCACATGTCTGTCATTGTAAACTCACTTATTGATGTGACCAATTCTTTTTTGAACAGATGTTACAAATATTTTGCCAAATGGATAGGTGGTATTGAGTTGTATTGACAAGATTTTCGATGTATTTCAGTCTATTTAAACATTTTTGACTGTCTGTAATTACATTGTTCGAGATGAAGAAATTACCAGCAGTTTGGCTTTGTTTTTGACAATAATCTTGGCAACTGTATTGAGATGGCTAGAAAGTATGCAGTTATGATTTTTTGGGGTTATAGAACTTTTATCAAGGGGTTTTGTTTTTGCCAAAAATCCTGATTGTACACATTCTTGGATGGATGTGAATTAACAGGTATCTGCATTGTACTATACATGTCTCCTAATTTAATTGTATGAACCAAAATTTTATTTGGAGGGTATGAGGACTAGGAGTTTCTTAAGGCAGCATTTTTTAACCTATTGTTTGACAGTTTTATACACCGGTAATGTATTATCTGGTTACCATAAAAAATATTTCATCCCTTCGATGGCCTAGTGGATAAAGGCATTAAGTCACACTGATAAGATCGCAGGTTCGATCTGGTCTGTGCTGTGAAAGCTGATCTCAGTTGGGGTAGCATTTGGGTGTGTGTTGGAATTAACCTTAGAATCCTGGGCTGAGGAGGAAGAGGGATTAAAAATAAAAGCCAGGGTTCCTGCACCTGATTGTTCTCCAATGGCTTCTGCTGGAAAGCGTGTGGCTGAGCGGTAGATGAGAAATTGACTGTGATGCCCTTCGAGGTCGAGTTAACTACCACTTGCTGACTGAAGACTGGTAAATTGGATGAGGCACCAGAAGGCTGCCCATGGAACTGCCCCAGGAAGACTTAAGCTTTTGAGAGAAAATTGGTTTAACAAAAATTTAATTCGGGAATATTTTTACTTTGGTACTTACATAGACATCAATCTTTCAATACAATATATGCTCGTACTTATTTGTTGCCTTAATTTAATCACTTCCATAATCTTGTGTTTGAAAAGTGTAATTTACAATGTAAACTTGTAAACTTTTGTCAAATTTAAAATAAATAAATTGCTGACTAAGTCAAAGACCACAGGATTCTGAGAACTCCATGTTAGAGTGACTGTTGTGCCAGTAGTTAGCATTCTTTTCTCAGCTCACTTCACCTGAAAATCTGGCGCTTTAGCTTTATTTAAAAAAAGGGATGTCTTATTCCTTTTTTGCAAAAACGCATTAAAGTGCCCAAAACCAGAGTGGTGTAGATTAAAGAATTTAGAATTATTTGCGATGTATCCAGCTCGGTTAAATTTTGCAAGCTCTTGTTGCTATCTATTTTTAGCATTTTCTAAAACTATAAAAATGAGTATACATTAGACTATCCATGAAACCTGGGAATGAGAAATGAAAAGTTTTTTTTAATTTGCTCTTGTTGCATTGCAGCTTTTCTGGGTTGCCAAATAATATTGAAAAGCTTTATAATGGAACACTGGTAGAGGATATAAAATAAACTTGTGAGAATTACACAGTAAAGACAAGTTATAGAGGATGGATTGGAATAAGTTGTGTCTTACTTCAGGCATGTGAGTGGATTTTATAAAACTGAAGAATTAATTTTCAATTAAAATTGTGCTTAAATATCGTAATAAAAATACTGATTTAATGTCAAAATCGTGCCTGAAAGTGTTCGCCAATATGTTGACAGAACTGCCCTTTTGGGATGGAGGCTCCAAGCATTTACTCTGCCTGTTTGTGTGTGTGTCAAGTGGAACAATGAAAAGATTATGATTTAGAAACTTGTAGATAAAATACTTTGCTGGATAAACCGATCGAAAATAATAATTTGACCCAATCCACGACTGTTTGTGGGACACTGCTGTGCACCATTGGCTGCTGTATTTCGCCCACACAATATAAAGTCAATTCACTTTACAGTATATCCTGTAAGGCGCTTTGAGGTGTTTATTCCAGCAGTTCAGTTTTTAAGAATCCTTAAGATTAAATTTGTGGCCTATAGCCTGTGCGCGCGCGCACACACACACACACATTTAAATCGCAATGTTAGTGCTGCTGCAGTCACTTTTTTAAACAAAAAAAACTTTTTTAAAGATTGAAGGCACAAAGTGAGATTTTTTTTGAATTAAGCTAAATGTAAATGCCATTGAGTTATCTGTCAAATTAAAAAATCTCTAAAGACTGGCTTTATTCTGAAATCTAATGCTAGGCTCAAAGCAAACCTTTTTGAAAGGATGTTTCTTAAATACTGGTTAAAGGTGTATCGATACGATTTGATCATATTCTTGCTGGTAATGAGATCTATTGTTCAGCATACCAATAATCACTTAAGTGACTTAAGTTGGTGTATAAATATATATATATAGGTGCTGCTGTAAATTATTTTTTCTTAGGAAATATGCATGCAATAAAATTACTATTTACAGGTACTGTTCATTGATAAGCTTCAATAAAATACCTGGTGTTAACTTGACTGATGTGGCTTCTTTGTTTGGTGGCATACATGTCTGGAATATTGGGTTTCCTGCATTTAATCGTTCACCCTGTTTATGCTGCTGTAAGATGTAAAGTCAATTGAACTGACAAACTGCCTTTATAGTTTTATCTTACTCTAGTATCACTTTGCCCTGGAGCTGAGGGGTAGGGTGTTTAGCTTAGACAATGTTAATGCCAATTTAGAGAGTCACTTACTGGTATAACCACTCAAATTGGTTTTGGACTTGAAACAACATCCTTAAATAGCCCATCACAGGTGTGAAGGGTGATGAAGCAGAAAAGATTTGCGGAATTGTCCAATTATTATGTGATTACTCGGAAACAACTAATATATCAATCAAGCTGTTGGTTTTCATTGGTGAGTATTTTAATTGCTTAATTACTGAATTCATCCAAGTCCAAGGAAGCCGGAATACAAAGATCTGTTGTCACGCTTTTATCTGGTTTCTTCAGGAGCATTCAAAATGGTTTACAAATAACAAGGGAGTTTCTCCCGGTGTCGCAAAAATCTCGCAGCTAAAATTGATCATTTGATTCATGGTTATTTATGGGACATTGCTGTGTGTCAATTGGCTGCTGCGTTTGCCTACAAAATACAGTTGCAACACTTTCCAGTATATGCTGTGAAGTTCTTTGAGGCATCCTGATGTGAAAGGTTCTACTGTATATCTAATGCAAGAGTTATTATTATTTTGCTGTTTCAGAGTGAGTTCACTCAGGGAAAATGGGACGTGGAAATTGTTGTATGACTAGTAAAAATTTGTCCATTAAATCCCTTTAAATAAAATAATACAAATTGAATGATATGTGGTTTCCACTGCTCTTGTCTTTAGATTAAGGAATCTCCCACGCTTCCCTTGTGAAAAAGCACCGATGCACCTCGTCCGAGTTGCATTGCTAACAAATATTGTTAGTATCTTCCATTTCCCTATATATTTCTAGTCACAGATCATTCATCGCCCACGTTTCCTGACATATCCTCACTAATCCATCACACAGTTCAAGATCCCGGTCCTCACCTTCAAAGCCCTCCATGGTCTTGCTCCCCTTTACCTCTGCAACCTCCTAAGCCCCCTACGGTCTTGCTCGCTCCCTCTGCTCAGCAGACTCAGGCCTGCTTCACATCCCCCACCTTGCCTGCCCCACTATTGTTGGGTGGGCCTTCTGCCCCGATGCTCTAGAACTCCACCCCGCAGTCCCTCCTCCTCGCCCCCTCCCTCACCACTTTCAAGACCCATCTCAAGATCCTCCTCTTCAACCGTGCTTTCGATCTCCCTGCGCCCCCCCCCCCCCCACTGCCCTCCACCTTCCCCGACCGCCAGCTCGGGTCCATAACTGTCCAGCGCCTTGGGACGTCCTCCCGACATGAAAGGCGCTTCACAATGTAGTTTTGTTGTTGTAATGCTACTTTATCTGTAAGCATTTAATAGCAATTCATCCATCCATATCACCAGTTCAGTAACTTATGCAGCATTTCCAATATTCACTCTAGAACACAGTTTGAAGCTCCTGTTCCTACAACCAATAAGCAGCATCTCAGCAGGAAATTATCACATTTCATCACCACACATTTTTACCAAATTAGGCTTGAAAATGGTACCACAATACTGAGACGGTAAATGCCAATAATAGATGATTGTGCAGAAACAGGCTTGTAACCTGAATTCTGTACTGTCAAAACTATTTTTAAGAACTCATGACTTAAAATTGGACGTGAGAAACACAGACACGAGGAAAAGAGAAATCTGGTTCCTCTGGTACAGAACACTTGTATTTTCAGTGCATGCAGCAAAATCCAATTACATTTACTAAAGCCCAGGATAATTCAAACTAGGTCTTCTATATCATATTTCTGAAAAGCTTTAATTTGTAGTTTATTTTCAATTATGAAAGTGCTACAGAAACTTTAAACTACTCTTGTTTTTATATATATATATATATATATATGTACACACACGGCCGCATTGTGTTGACAACATGTACAGATGGTGAAGTAAAGCAGTGTTCGTTCACTTTCTTACATGTTTTTCAATATGCTGCTGATCCTTGAACTTAATACAGTATCACGCATTGAGATGTCTCGAAGACGTGAGAAGACGCTATATCAAATGTAAGGATTATTATTTATTATTTATAAGTAATCTCAGATGAACTAGTAAGCGGCTTCAGCAAACCGAAGGGAAGAAAACTGTTTATCTGAAGTTTAATATTGTTTTCTTGACATGGTAGTGCAGTACTTTAGAAATCCCAAGATCAATGTAATTGATGCCACAGAAAATGTATTGGAAATTCCCAGCAGGAAGCTTATTGCAGAAAATTATAGGGTGGATCACAGGCAAGCTATATAAATGGAGAAAGTTACCTTGTCCTAAGAGTAATTTCTTTCATACTCCAGAATGTGTTGCCATTTGAATGTTTGCCTTTTGTTGTTTTGTTTGATGTTTTCTGTGTCAGGAGGTGTTCCCCCCGGTTGTAAACTGCACGAATATACAAGCTACGGAGTACTTCAAGATGCCGATGTTATTATTGGAGGGGTTTTTCCACTCCATGGTTCCAATGATGTCTCCAATTTTCCCTATACATCTCAGCCGGTCGAAAAAAAGTGTAATGACCGGTAGGTATTATTCAGACACGTTCACAGTTTTGATCTGCTACCACTCATCTCTGACAATTAAACAGCAGATAAAGTTTTCCAACATGAATCAACATGACTATGCTTAGACTTGGGTCTCTGTAAATAGCTAATTTGTGTATCTTTGTATCTCGAGTTGCTTGAAACATTTCGCCCACAAAATTCACAGGCAAACCACTTTACAGTATATATCGTGTGAAGCTCTTTGAGATGTCTCGACAACATGATAAGGCGCAATACCAAATGCAAGGATTATTATTATTCGTATTCATTCAGTAAACTAGCAACCAAACAGATGTTTTTCATTGCATATTTGGACCCTAAATAGCCTCACTGTCAGAGAAATTCAACAGTGAACTGACAGTATTTAATATTCGGAACAATAGAAGCTAAGTCATTGGGTAATATTTGATGGTTGGATGAAGAATTGTGTTGTGTATGCACGGATCAGAAGCTTCCGACTGCAGGGGTGAGTGAATAAGAAAGCTTGTTATCCTGAGTTTCTGTGTGTGGTTTGCACCTGGTTTTATGTGGATATCACAGTCGTGATTTAAGAATATAATTTTACATTGGACTTAACCTTTAGTTTTTGAAATTATTTTTCATTTTCCAAACTCGAAACGACGCTTTAAGATTAACACAAAACAATACAGATATGGCTTATGCTGAGAAGTTCTATGGTTTATTTTTCTTTTGCATCTTAAGCATTGATAGTACACTCTCTATGAAGTAACTAACAACATATCTGCTCTCAAGCTTTAATATTAGGACTTACCGTTGGATGCAAGATATGATCTTCACAGTGGAAGAGATAAATAAAGATCCAGAATTATTGCCGAATATAACTTTGGGCTATGCCATCTATGATACCTGTTATAATATTCCCAAGACTGTAGAGAATGCATTCGCACTGGTGTCTGGCAAGGAAACATTCACACCGAATTACCAGTGCAAGTTAAACTCCACTTTGGCCGCAGTAGTTGGTGGCTCGATTTCAACTATTTCAATAGCGATGGCATCAGTACTTGGGCTCTATCGTTACCCTCAGGTAAAAAAAAATTGAACTGTAAGTGTTCTATTCAAGGGCCAGGATTGCATAACAAACTACACAAGTTTCTCTTATAAAGTGAAGTCCTGTAGCTCAGTGGTTAAAGCTCTCGCCTCACAGGCGAGAGGACCCGGGTTTGCTTCCCAGGCAGGGCGAAACGTTGGGGCAAGTTTCCTTACTCCACACGTCTCTGTTTACCTACCTAGGAGTAAATAGGAACCTGGTTGTTAATCGATTGTCGGATCGCTTTTCCGGTGGTAATAATCCCTTCCAAAAAAAAAAATTTTGTCACTCAATCCACGGCTGTTTGTGGGACGCCGCTGTGCGCAATTGTCTGCCACGTTTCACCCACAAAATATACAGTGAATTAACTTGAGAGTATATTCTGTGAAACGCTTTGTGATGTCTCGAAGACGTGGTATCAATTGCAAGGATGATTATTATTATTATTATCCTTGATTGTACTAGCTCGTGTTCTGTATATATTCAGTTGTCCAATTTGAATCTAATAAGTTCCAAAAGTGTCTTTTTGAGCAGAGCTCAAATCAATTTGTACCACCTGCATATATGCACCAATGTTTTAAACACACACGTATCAAATAACAACAACAACTTGGATTTATATAGCGCCTCCACGCCGGACGGCGTCTCAGAGCGCTTTACAGTAATGGATCCCAGGCCCGAGCCAGGGGGAGGGGAAGGAGCCAGGGGGACGGGGAAGAAGGTGATCAAAGGTGCAGTGAAAAGAAAGGTCTTCAGCCGAGACCTGAAAATAGGAAGAGAGGGGACGAGGGGAAGGGAGTGAGGAAGGCAGTTCCAGAGCCTCGGGACATAGTGGCTGAAGGCACCGCCACCGAGGGTGGAGCGGAGGACTCGGGGGACAAAGAGAAGGCCAGACCTGATGGAGCGAAGGCAACGGGCACTGTTGTAAGGAGAGAGGTCAGAGAGGTCGGGGAATCACTTACTAGGGTGGCTATTTTATACAGCGGTGATTACTAAAGCAAGACATTCTGGTGATATTAAGCCCTTGATTTGTCCTTCATTAGTATTTAATGAAGATTTTGATTAACTGTCTAACTGTTTTCTGTTGATATTTTGCAGATTAGCTACTTTTCCTCTGCCCCAATTCTCAGCAATAAACAACAATTCCCCTCTTTTTTCCGCACTATGCCAAGTGATATATTTCAATCCAGGGCCTTTGTGATTATTGTCAAACAGTTTGGCTGGAAGTGGGTGGGCGTGTTAGCAGACGACATTGACTATGGCTTGCAAGCAGTTCAGATCTTTATAAAAGAGGCAAAAAACCTTGGTGTGTGCATTGCCTTTTCTGAGAAGATTCCAATCACATATTCGAGAGAAAAATATCTTCAGATTGTGGACACAATAAAAGCATCATCGGCAAAAGTTATAGTTGCTTTCTCTTGTGATAGAAACATAGCTCCATTACTTGACGAGATTGTTCAACAAAATGTAACGGACAGAACGTGGCTAGCAAGTGTAGGCTGGAGTACATCAGGTCCACTGTTTATTATTAGAAAGAAGTACATCAAACATTGGACTGGAACTATAGGAATTACACTCCCATTGTGCAACATTGAAGGACTTCAAGAGTTTCTCTTTCAGCTTCATCCGTTGAGAAGAACTCATGATATCCATCTTCCTGAGCTGTGGGAAGAAATGTTTGACTGCTCGTGGACAAGTTTTCTTGAGCAAGAAAAGAAACGTGAATTAAATCAAGTCAAATCCAATACTTTTAACACAACTTCTAGGAAACCCTGCACCGGGCTGGAAAATATGAGGGAGGCCAACCACATCTTCACAGATGTCACCAACCTGCGAACCTCGTGCAATGTGCACAACGCAGTATATTCAGTGGCTTATGCCCTACATGACCTGCAGTCGTGTGTCGATGGAAAGGGGCCTTTTGAGAATGGGACCTGTGCAAATATACATAACTTTGAACCGTGGCAGGTCAGTTCTCCTTTACTGTAGCTTTGATTATTATCTTGTCAGGTTTAAGTAACAGAATTTCAGAGAACAGCAGGAGGTCAACCTTGCCTGTGCCGGTTCTTTGAAAGAGCTATCCGATTAATCCCATTTCCTTGCTTTTTCCTCCATAATCTTGCAATTTTTTTCTCTTCAAAGGTTGTATCTGTTACGACTTCAAACAAGACTGAGGGAGTTCAGGCAGGATATTGTGGGATAAGTATGGAGGCTTAGTTTTCAGTTCAGTGGGTTTGAACGGGGTTGGATCAACAAATTCTGGCGCTCCAGTGGACAGATGAAAACCACTCACACATGTTAAATGTCAAAATGTTAAAGAGGAAAATGATTTGAGTAAGCAAAAGAAAAGGATGTGATTTGATTAATCACGTGCTTAAAATGATGCTGCTTTGGGGTGCGTTTTTCCTCCAGATGCTGCATTACATGAAGAAGGTACGTTTCATGGACAAGTCAAAAAACGAGCAGAGGTTTGATGAAGATGGGGATGTTGCTGCCATATATGATGTCATCAACTGGCAAGAAACTGCTGACGGTGTCATCAACTTTGTGAAAATAGGACATTACGATTCTCGAAAAGCTCCAGGGCATCAGCTTACCATTGGAGACCAGGAGATCATCTGGAACAATGGCGACTTAGAGGTGTGTTTACTGAGCAAGATCTACTGCAAGTTACTGTTAAATCAAGGGAAGTTAAATCAAATAAAACAATCCAGGACTGTTCGTGGGACGCTGATGCGCGCAATTGGCTGCTGCGTTTCGCCCACAAAATATAGAGCCAATTCACTTCACAGTGTATTCTGAGAAGCGCATTTTAGACATCTCGAAGTCGTGATAAGGTGCTATACCAAATGCAAGGATTATTAATATTATTATTGCTAAGGTAAAATGTTGTTATGACTGAGCAGACTCTCAATTGTTTGAAAGAAACTATTAAATTCTCACAATGCTCTTAATGCTTCAGATTGGTGTATAGACCTCACGGATATAGTGCAAACATTGGAAAATATCCCTTCTCCAACACTCTTGTTGCTCTGCTCAATGAAAACAAAAGTTGCTCATCAAAGTTGTTCAGATTTTATTCCTCTGGCCTGATTGCAGTTGGCTCTGATTCTAAAGCACAATGTGTAGAGAAAGGTCAGTCGCCATTGATGAGTAGCTAACTGGAAATGGATACCATTGCTTTGAACATAGTTTTATTCTGGAACCAAGCTCTTGTGTATTTTTAAATCTTCAGATGGACATTCAAGTTGGCTCGTCACTTCAGAGCTGCAATGACATTATCCCCAAATCTGGCAGTGTTGTAGCCAATAAATCTTCTGCATAAGTTGTTTAGTCACCTCATAGTTTGTTGTGCGGTACTGCTGGTGCAAATGGCTGCCTCATTTCTCTAGAAAGAGTCATTAAACCCCGACAGTAAGGGCGCTATATAAATGCAAGTAATTGTTGTTGTTGAGCTGTTTAATCTGTTGTCTCAACAACAACAACAACAACAAGATTCCATTTATAAAGCGCCTTTCACGTCAGGAGGACGTCCCAAGGCGCTGCACAGTTGGGTCATGACCCGAGCAGGGGGGAAATGGTCAGGGTGAGGGGAGGGAAGGGAGGGAGCGAAGCGGGGGGAAATGGTCAGGGTGAGGGGAGGGATGGGAGGGAGCGAGGAGTGGGAAGAGAGTCGAGAGGGGAGCTGAAGGCTCGGTCAAAGAGAAAAGTTTTGAGACCGGCCTTGAAGGAGGAAAGGGAGGAAGCGGCGAAGGCACTGGGGGATGGAGTTCCAGAGCCTGGGGGCTGAGAGGCTGAAGGCCCGACCACCTCGTCAGCTGTTTATGTGTGAAAAATGAGTAATGAAATAAGGGTATGAGTGAGACTGTGTTGGGAACACCAGAACACTTTGTTTCAATGGCGGTCATTCTGTCTTATTGTCAGTCCTATTTTTGTCTTGTCAAGGTACCTCAGTCGGTGTGCAGTGAAGCCTGCCTCCCAGGAACAAGACGAATAGTTCAACAAGGACAGCCTCGATGCTGCTTTGATTGTGTTCCTTGCGCAGAAGGAAATATCTCAAATGGCACAGGTTAGGTTGTCATAAACAGAGGTTCAACACTAGCAGGCTATGCGTATTGGTGGGAATATATTGTTGTAATGGTCTGTACTGAAGATCATAAGAAGGTAGTGATATATTTTGGGGGAAGAACAGAGATAATTTCCAGAATCCTGTGATCTATATTCTGACCAAATAAGAAGAGCTAACTGGGATTATAGAGAGAGGTAACAATTGGAACATTTATTTATAGGGTCTAATGTGCATGTGCCAGATTGCTACTGTGTTGAACTCATCAAAGTCTAGGGGAAAAGAGAGAAAATGTAAAAATAAAAATGTCCCTGGAATGAGTTAGAATCTCACCCTGAGTAAACTAATACTATAGTTACTAACCCTGAAACAAAGCAGGTTTTCCTTGCAATACATTGTACAGGGTGACCAAAAAGTTGTGATACCATTACAATGTCTTATAAAACTCAGAGAAATGATGATATCTTTAAAGATAATTGGGTAGTTGTCATGACTTTTTGGTCACGTTGCACATTCTGGTGGTTTTTCCAAGTCAATGTGATAGCCGGGCCTTCAATTTTATGTTCAGTAAATCTACTGTTACTACATGGTCTTTATTAACTCATCTCCAGGTTGTTTTAATCTTCTACCTTCATATTTCACAGAATGTACGCAGTGTCCTGAAGATTCCTGGTCCAACCAAAAGAAGGATGAGTGTCTGCCAAAGAAGATTGAATTCCTATCCTTTGAAGAGCCCCTGGGGATAATCTTGACAGTTTTCTCACTGTTGGGTGCTGTGATTACTGTTGTGATAATAGTCATATTTATAAAGTTCCTGAATACACCCATTGTACGAGCTAATAACCACGAACTCAGTTTCCTTCTGCTCTTCTCTCTCTTCTTCTGCTTCCTGTGTTGTCTTACATTTATCGGTGAGCCATCGGTGGAATTCTGTGTGCTCCAGCAAACAGGATTTGGCATCAGCTTTGCTCTCTGCATCTCATGTATTCTTGTTAAAACTAGTGTGGTTGTGCTGGCCTTTAAAATGACAGCGCCCAACCAAAATATGTCAAAGTACTTTCGGCCCATCCATCACCGAATAGTTGTTACAGCCATAACGTTGGTTCAGATAGGGATCTCTCTAGGATTTCTGATATCGTCACCACTGGTCGTGCAGCGGAACAGTCAAGCGGTCATAGGAAAAATTATTCTGGAATGCAATAAGGAACCTGAACTTGCTTTGATTGGTATTTTAGGATATATTGGGACCTTAGCTCTTCTGTGCTTTATTTTGGCTTTTCTGGCCCGAAAATTGCCCAATAATTTTAATGAGGCTAAATTTATCAGTTTTAGTTTGCTTGTCTTTTTTGTGGTGTGGTTGTCCTTCATCCCAGCTCATGCCAGCAGTAAAGGAAAATATCTGGTGGCAGTAGAGATATTTGCTATTCTGTCCTCAACCTTTGGTCTTCTTGCCTTCATTTTCTTCCCCAAATGTTACGTTGTTTTGATGAGACCTGACTTGAATACAAAACAAGGTATGATGGGTCGGGCTCCACCACAAATATCTATCCAGAAGATTAAGTAAATCCTCATCAGCAAGTCCTATACTCACTGATGATGGTTAGTGAAATTGGAAAAGATTTTTTTTAGAAAATGCTACAATGAGAATGATACATTTTTAAAAACAATTCTACCCGGCTTGGGATGCAAAATATTGATCAAGTAAATAGTGCTAGCGTAGTGCTGTGATAGGTCTGTGCAAAAGTGGAATGGCATTAATCCATTGGTACACTCTGGTATCTATAGGGCTCACTCTCTTCACCAACCCCTTCTCCCAATTGTGCATTTAACAAACAGAGCTGGATGAATAGACCAGGGCCTGTTTCATTTCACAGCCATCAGGCAAATCAAAGAATGACATAGATTGTATTCCACAGGACATTTGGCCCTACTTAATCCATGTTGGTGTTCATCAGCACTTTGAGACGTCTCGAAGACATGAAAAGGCACTATATCAAATGCAAGGATTATTATTAGATGATACAGGAGCCTCTACTCACCCTAATCCCCTCTCCCTTACTTCTCTATTACCTTCTCTCTCGTGTATGTGTCAGATACATGAATAAAATATCAATCCTAATATTTGAATGTCTAAAGTTACATTTCACACACGCACGCACTTTCCTGTGCTCCATTTAATCAAATGTTTCAATGCAGTTGGCAATGTGATGCCAGATGAACAGGTATATTTGCTGCAAATCTTAATCCCAAGAATGATGCAGTCTCTTCACAGTTAGGATCTTAAATGCAATAGCAACGTTTCAGTTTAACGTTCGTTTATTCGCTATTCGACTCCTAGATCTGTAATACAGAAGTGCCATTGCTGTGCATGTGAACGTATAGGGAGATTGAGAGAAAGAGACAGAAAGAGAGGTCGTGAAATCAAGGCTTCTGGATGTCTGTGTAAACTTTAACTTGGCTGATACCCTCTTAACGTTTCCTTGTACATAAAATAGCCCCAAGAATGTGATTCCTCAAGTTAAAACTGTCGGTCATGCCACTGTCACAAGAACAAATTTGTTGTGAATCATGTGATGGATCCAGAAGTAATGAAATGATCGAGGAACAGAGCTGACTGTGTTTTAAGATTTGTTTTCGGCAAAATTTATCACTTTGTGAAGCCATGAGCAGATCGAGATGATTCAGAAACGCTCAAAGATAATTTTCCTAGTTTCAAAGTATATCTAAATTCTAGAAGCTTTTAAAGATATTTTCCATATATATATATAAAGTACGAGAATGGATTTGCTAATTGATACTTAGAAGATATGAATCTTCTAAATATCAATTAGCAAATCCATACTCGTACTTTTTGGAAGGGGAAATTATTTCAAAAGGTAACAGACATTTATGAAAGCTGTGAAGTTGTGAAAAGCTGTTAATGGCATCATATGTTTGCTTTTAAATAACCTGATTATAGTGTGTTTACTTATTCCAATATTTATTATGTAACTGTGGCTTTTTTAAGTATGTATAATAAACAAAGAAATAGTATTGTAACTCTTTGGGGTGCAGAATGTGATGTTTCATAACAGATTTCATCAACAACCCACCGGATAACCGTTGACTCCCTTGCAGGTCCGAAGTGTCATTTTGTATCTCAGGATTTTCTAAACTAAGTGATGTATTTATTGATCATCTGTGCATTTCCCCCAAATAAACTCAATCTTGGTTTCTACAAAAGCTGCTCATTTTGTAGAAACCAGCATGCCATTCGGAATGGAATAAAATAAACTTCCATTTAAATAATAATAATAATAAATTGGTCTCTTCAATCCAAGACTGTTTGTGGGGACGCTGCTGCTCGCAATTGGCTGCCGTGTTTCGCCCACAAAATATACAGTCCATCCACTTTACAGTATAATCTGTGAAGCGCTTTGAGACGTCTTGAAGACTTGATAAGGCACTGCATCAAATGCAAGGATTATTATTATTAAGTACCAGATGATGACAAAGGTGTCTTATCTATATACCAGGTAGACATTTGCTGATGTGTGGGATATAATGTTCAACTGTACATTAGCAACGTGACCGGGATCTATCTGTTGGGGGCATCTCCAGGGCACCATTGCCAAGTCAACTGACGGTTGTGCGCAGATCCTCATGTGGTTCCACTTTGCATCATAATCGAGCATTAAAAAATAATTTAGGAATTCTTTGGTCACTTGAGCTCAATTAGTCACGGACACACTCGTGAATTCAGCTGAACTGTATTAACTAGGAATTTGGTTTGAAAAGTTCCTTAAGGTAGACACTCATGTGGCTCCAGTTAGGGTCATTATCAAGCATTAAGACTGGGGCAGTTCATGTTCACTTGAGTCCTATTCATCACTGATAAGGTTCTGGTTTATCAAAACTCTGTGTGTTACTTGTCATGCTCACTTCTCCCACCAGAAATCATCTTGTAGGTTTCTTACAAGAATTGGCTGCCATGTTTCCCTCACAAAATATACAGTCAATTCACTTTACAGTATATAATAATAATAATAATAATCTTTGCATTTGATATAGCGCTTTTCTCGTTGGGAGGACGTCCCAAAGCGCTTCACAGAACCCACTGTAAAGTGAATTGACTGTATATTTGTGGGCGAACGCGGCAGTCAATTGCGCACAGCAATGTCCCACAAACAGTCGTAGATTGAAAATGACCAATTTATTATTGTTTTTGGTTTTGGAGGGATTATTATTAGGCTCTGTGTGGAGTAAGGAAACTTGCCCAAGGTTTGGCCCTCTGCCTGGAATTGAACTCAGGTCTCTCACTTGCAAATCGAGTGCTCTGACCACTGAGCTACAGGACTCCACATTCATATTCTGTGAAGCGCTTTGAGATGTCTCAAAAACGTGATAAGGCGCTGTATCAAAGCCAAGGATTATTATTATAATTTTTACAGACCTCCATTAAGAATCACTTGAGTACCAATCGTTTGTATTTAACTGAAATAATCAATTGCCAAAAGGATTTTTTTTTATTTGTGTGTGTGCAGAATTGTGGTTCAATGAATTTGTTTTTTAGTGTGCAACCTAGCAAAAGAGTGTGTCTTAATGTCAATTCAATGGCTGCAAACTATTATAATTACCTCTAATCTGCTTTTCTATCCTTTCATCAAAAAAAACATAAGTTTGCCCGAGTCTGTGTGATGATAGAATCGCCAACAGAACCGAGTTTGAAGTGAGTCAGAGGCTGATAATGTGAAAAAGCTGAATTAATATCTGTCCTTAGACATGATTTCAGCTTGACATGAATTTAACATAACAAGAATCCTGACCAACCAGTTCCCAGTAATAATACCCTTAACATTTACTGTTTAATGCTGAAATATTCACTTTCCCCCTTCAATAAAAATAGAAAGGTAAAAGCATATTAAAACGGATTATCTTCCTTCGCAGATGTTCAGATGACTTTGCACAGCTGGTGGAAGTGAATAATGTATCTTTCTCCATTCAATAGATTGAATCAGATGCAAGTTGGTAGCACACTGTGACTAACAACACTTTAATTAAAATCGGATTATCATTAGCGTAAGTAGTAGGCCAGGATTTGGAGGACTTTTATGCAGAGCAAGGTTTATAAAGTCAATAATTGCAGCAATCCCTTTGGATTAAGCAAATGAATGAAACGTTCTTTCATTTATGCTACACTCACACAACACACACACACACACACACACTGTGCAGCATCAACAGTGTGATACCTTCACCCTCCTAAAACTCTCTTAAGTACTCCGCCAACTGTAACCTTTCACTGTGAAAGGCGAGGGACGGATATAATTAAAGAACAAAATCACGTGCTGGTTCTTTTTTGAAGCGTTTGTTAAACACTCGATCCACATTCAGCACTAATGCTATGAGGTTTGGAACGTCCTCCCGACATGAAAGGCGCTATACAAATATAATTTTGTTGTTGTTGTTGAGGTTGGCACACATGAATCCATTTGATTTGTATACTCTTGTCACCTTGTGGCTATGTAATGCAGTGACATGCTCCTTCGTCAAAAGATGTTTTGCACAGACTTTGTCTTCGTGCTGCGGAACAGGATTTTGCCCTATGTAACTAAATTATTTTTTGGTAACCAAATTACCAAAGCATTTTCAACAAACTGAAGTAAAGATGCCCACAAGGCTGTGAGCACCACCGAGAGCTGTCACTGGGAATTAGCTGTAAAAGCTGTACCCATAAAGTGTCAGGTAGAGCAATCGGTGCTAGTTTACAGCTATGGCAACTGTTAATAAGTTATTTGGACGTCGTAAACAGTTCAGAAGAGACTTAATTGTTTAATGCATGCTCAAAGGAATGTCAATTATAATTTTCTAGCAGGGGGGAATAAAAGAGTAATCATCATTCATTCGGAACAAATTTGTTTTTGTGTTTGGTATAAATTAAATTTGTTTGTGGATTGAGAATAGGAACCATAAGGTAAGGCTGGTTTCGCCCCCCACCCACCCCCCACCACCACTGTCCCCACTGCAGTTCTCCACATTTTGTTACCTTGAATGCTGTCCATGCTATTATAATAATAATCTTTGCATTTGATACAGCGCTTTATCACATCTTTGAGACGTCTCAAAGCGCTTCACAGAATATACTGTAAAGTGAATTGACTGTATGTTTTGTGAGTAAAACGTGGCGGCCAATTGTGCACAGCAGCGTCCCACTGATTATATGTTGTGTGACAAAGGACATTATGGTTCAACTGGTAAAAAAAAACTCTTGGACCTTCATTTTCCTTATGTGGGAAAATAATAATTCCTCCATAAGGCCATCCAGATTCATTATCAATAATGAAATGGAATTTATTGGGGGGGGCATTCATTCTTTGTTGAGGAGATTAAACACAAAAACAGGAGTAGGCCATTCAGCCCCTCGAGCCTGTTCTGCCATTCTATAAGATCATGGCTATCTGTACCTCAACTCCAATTACCTGCCCTTGGCCCATATCCCTTGATACCCTGACCTAACTATCCACCTCAGTCTTGAAAATGTGAATGGAGCGAATCAATAAAGAAATAGATGTTTAAATATGAGATCTTAATATTCTCATGAATTGCCCGACTCTAAACTGAGAGACCAGGTCATGTCACAGCAGCAGATTGAGCCCAAGACTTCTCTTGAAGGATAGCGTGACCAGCAGATCTCAAGAATGGCCAGTTATTGCAACCAACCACAGGTGATCAAGGCAATTCCCAGCTCATCACCATTTGCCTGGAAGATATAGATGATCTCTCAATTCCCCATTGGGGCAGTGATCTAAACAAACAAAGACTCATCTCGAGACCCAGAGAGGCCGAGAGAACTGAAGGCTACATACAGCATCTGCTGTTCAGTCCGTGGTGGCCACCGTTCTGGCTTCCAACATGTTTGTCACAACTCATCCACCAACTGCAGCTCAGGATTGTCATCTATCCCACTGGTTTAAATGGAAATTAATCAAATCCTCGTCAATTACATTGTTACTGTAATTAATTAGCGGGGGAGCTGACGAGTCATTAAGTAGGTAAAGCAGTGGGTGAAAGTGTTCCTTCACCCCTGCAAGCAAAGACTTGCAAAATAGAGACTTGATCCAAACCTTCCTTAGGGGGCCAGATAGATTATTATCCTTTGTTAATAAAGCCTTCTCTTGTCCCTTTTGTGGATGTGTTTCAAACATTAAACTGAAGGGTTAGGCATTGTTTCGTGTGTCTCGACCCTAGAGCACTTGTGTTTATATCATCTGTGAATTCCCCAAATTGAACATTTCTTTCCCTTTTTTTTAATATATATCTGTACATAAAAAGAAGAAACGTTTTCTTTTGGGATTAAACAGGAACGAAATCTAATAAATAGTCACCCATCCATTTGATATAGCGCCTTATCACATTGTTGCGACGTCTCAAAGTGCTTCACAGAATATACTGTGTAGGGACTGTGTATTTTGTAGGCGAAAATAGCTCGTACTGTACTCCGGGCAGCACATCCCAGTGGAATGAAGTAGATATTGCTTGTTATTTACCTGGTTTTAAATTGTTTTCCACAAAAGGAAACCCTTTGGAAATGTATTTCAGATTTAGGTTTCTTTTATCTTCAGCAAGGGATGATAGTAAATGGCGTTGAAAATGAACTGAAATTGTCGTATCATATCTACTTTGTAATTAACAATGTTACAGGTGCCACATCTGAAAATGTTGGCTGGTGTTTACACAAACCTTCCCAATTGCTTGTTCGACCCCTTTGGGACAACAACAACAACTAATGACATGTGTATAACGCCTTTCACATCGGGAGGACGTCCAATGGGACTATGTTACCACAATTTACTTGTCAGTTTTCGTCGTTGTAACCAATGGGCTTGAAGTGTTTGATTTGCAATCCCATAAAAGCTTGGGATTGACTGACAATCGAGTTCTTTTCCCCCCTCCATACCCTGCGACGCACCCAAACCTGCCGGAGATGAACCCATCAGCCTACTATTTCCGTCTCTTGGTGTATCTAGCCATGACTGTGGCAGTCTCCGGGAAATCGACATGTAAACTCAAAGGGAAATTTAATTTAAACAGCTTCAAAATGCCAGGAGATGTGATTCTCGGAGGGATGTTTCCTATTCACCACAGAGTCAAGTCCTCCAACGCATCATCGAGCACCACGCCAGAGTCTGTGGGATGTGAGGGGTAAGAACTATTGAGTTAGATGTATTGTTTCACCCACAAAATATACAGTCAATTCACTTTACAATATATTCTGTAAAGCGCTTTGAGACAACAGCAACAAGATTACATTTGTATAGCGTCTTTCACATTGGGAGGACATCTCAAAGATGTGATAAGGCTCTATATTAAATGATATATTATTAGATTATTATTATTATTATTATTATTTATGAAGGGGACATTCCCATTGTGTGGTTGGTTATTTACTTAGTTAGTTATATTTATTAGTTGTGTGCAATCGGCTGCTGTGTTTCGCCCACAAAATATAGTCAATCCACTTTACAATATGTGTTTTGTGCACATTAGCTATGCAAACACTAATGACGTCTGAATGCATATGGGTAACATAAGGGCATGATGTTTAATTTATATCACGCAGTGAGCGTCTCAGAGCACTTAACAATGGCGGAGCCTGATGCCGAACCGGGGGGAGGGAGGAGGTGTCCGCAAGCATGGCCGAAGAGGAAGGTCTTCAGTCATGATCAAAAAGAGGGGAAGGAGAGGGCGAGGTGGAGTGATTGAGGGAGAGAGTTCCAACGCTTCGGGGGATAGTGATTGAAAGCATGGCTGGCGATGGTGGAACAGAGGAGACCAGGGACGAGTAGGAGGCCAGATCAAGGCTGCAAGTGGATAGCACTCCTTAGGAGATGATAGAAGTGTATAGAATGTTTGTCAACCCAGCGAGAGCCTGGTGCGATCACAGAAACGGGGGGTGTGGGCTGGGAGAGGATCAGGGTGTGAGGGTGGGCTGCTCCCAGCTAATGGGCTTTGGTAGGTTTTGTTGTTGCTCTGTTTCAATTCTGTAGAGGTCATTCAGTGAACGTTAGTGACATTGAATCATTCCAGGTGTACTGTACAGGTTGCATTGTTGAGTAGGGTATATATAATTAATTCTGTGTTACCTCAGGGGTGCAGTATGTTCTCTTGTGCATTTTTATCATTGTCGAGAAGATTTAAAGATGTTTGACAGGTCTCTACACCCTCGGACACCTTTTATTGCTTGCAGGTAAAGGTATTTGCATTGATGGAGTCACTTCTTGCTCAGTGGGTGGAGCAAATATCATGTCCAATCGCAAGCGTACAACTCAATCCTATATCCTCCATGTAAAGTCCAATCAGGGACTGACACCAGTTGGCATTACCTGGCAAAGTACCTGCTGGGTTGGGATCCATGCGTGGAGGAGAAGCAGAGATATGATGTAACATGTCCCATGAGGTTTGGACACACATTGCATCTGAGGAGCTGGCTTCTTTGGCTAACTAGTCTTTTCTTGTTCCAAGTTCTTTTATTGTTTCAAACCACCAAACAATGTGCAGGTTAGGCAACTCTGAATGAAATCAAGTCCATTTAGACGGTACCGTTTGTAAGAAAGCATATTCTACCCCCAACACTTCCCCAGTCCTCCAGGCAAACACCTGATTGTTTCACCCACAAAATATACCATCAAATTCACTTTACAGTATATGCTATGAAATGCTTTGCGACGTCGCGAAGATGTGATAAGGCGTTATATCATATGCAAGTATTTTTATTATTGATTTTAAAATGGGCAGTTAAATGGGATACATGGCTGAGAACTGACACAAGAAAAAAAATCAAAAAGCACAAACACTAACCTGGTTCTTGTGAAGTTTAAGATGAAAGAAAATTATCGCATCTTCAGGCTTGTTGCTATCTATATCTTAGTATCACCATGTGGCTTTGGAGCCCCATAACCTGTGCATGTTATATTATGTTTCGGAAAGGGAAACACAGTGTCTATAACTTCTGCATTAATATCCTTGTTATTTTCTGAATGTGAATCAGACACTTCTGAGAACTTCTCTCTCCAACAGATTCAACTTCCGAACTTTCCGTTGGGCCAGGACAATGATCTTCGCCATTAATGAAATCAACAAGAACAACTTGATTCTACCCGACGTACAGCTGGGTTATACAATCTATGACTCTTGTTTCACCATCTCCAAAGCCGTTGAAGGAACCCTGACTTACCTCACTGGACAAGACGAAGCCGTACCGAACTATAGGTGCGGCACAGGTGCACCTCTGGCAGTCCTGATTGGAGCCGGTGGATCAGCCCTCTCTATTGCAACCGCTAGGATTCTGGGCCTGTATTACTTTCCTCAGGTACAGTGCAGAACCTCCAACCACTGAGAATTTTCCCTCTTGGAAAGGGAAGGACCAACTCCCAGGGTGGTCCAACTGGCGGCCTGTGGGCCACATCCAGCAACCCCTTCCCCCCACCCCACACTCCCCATTTCCTCTGGCTTACCCGCTCCTTCCATAACCTATATATGTTTTGTTATGTTTCTGGAAGGGAAACACAAAAACTATTGTTTATGTGGTCTGCGAACCTTAATCAAATAGGGCATCCGGCCCTCAGCAGCCAAAAGGTTGGACAATCCTGGTGTAGATTACTGCTGCACAGTAGGTGTCAGTGTTGCTTCAGGAATATCCTGAGGAAATTATGATTGAGTATTTATTACAGTTTCTATGTAATTGAAGTTTTGTCATCTTTCCGAAACTCTTGTACAGGATGAATATCGTCAGAATAGAAGACATGCTTTTAGTTTCCTTACTTTTTGTAAATTTCGCTCACTTAGTTCACTTTCATTTGTGCCATTGCCCGGCTGACTTAGTTGATTGGCAGTCGGCTGGATCGAAGTGGTCTAAAATGACCATTTCAGTGTATCTTTCCTTGATACTTCCACCACCCCAGCCCACATCCCACCCCAACCCCCGCCCCCCACCCCAATCCCCACCTCCTCCACCCTCGACTGTTTCAGAAATGCTCAGAGGTAGCGGAAATATTTCAGACCAAGATATTGGACTCATTTAAGAACCAGTTTGATGCTATAATGCGGAAAACAGTTCCCAGCACCTCATGTCCTCCTGACATGAAAGGCGCTATACAAACGTAATTTTGTTGTTGTTGAGATCCTTTCTCGACAGAACCTCATGTGATGATGATTGAAGTATTTATTTTATTCAATTCAGGAGGGATAGAGCACCTTATATATATATATATATATATATAGGGACCCGGATGGCGTATGTTTATTATTGAATGCTTTCAACGATGCTTACTCTCTTGCAGGTTGATTATTCTGCTTCCTGTTCGGTCCTAAGCGATAAATTTCAGTTCCCATCCTTTCTCCGAACCATACCCAACGATAACTTTCAGTCCAGGGCTATGGCGAAATTTGTGATGCACTTTGGGTGGGCTTGGGTGGGCACAATAGCATCAGATGACGACTATGGGAAATACGGAATAAAAGTCTTCAAGGAAGCGGTAGAGAAGGTTGGAGTGTGCATCTCTTTCTCCGAAACTATCCCCAAAGTTTACGCACGGGATAAAATAGTCCAGATTGTGGAGACGATTAAAGAATCCACTGCCAAAATCATTGTGGTTTTCTCTGCTGATATCGACCTTAGCTCCTTAATAGAAGAAGTGATAAGACACAATATTTCGGGCAGAACATGGATAGCCAGTGAGGCCTGGGTAACCTCCGCTTTGATCTCCAAAAGGGAATACTCCTCACTTCTAGAGGGAACCATTGGATTTGGGATTCGGAGAGCTGACATCCAAGGACTGCGAGATTTCCTCACCGAATTAGAGCCCCAAAACAACTCAGAGAAACTGGTAACCGAGTTCTGGGAGAAAACCTTCGACTGCATGTGGCCTGAAAATGGTTTTACCATGAGCAAAATGCTTAGTTCCAAATCGATTGAATCTAGCGAGATGGATGCAGCTGTCCGAATCCATGACATCCCTCCACTCTCTCAGAGGTTCTGTACAGGCAAGGAGAAGCTGAAGGACATTAACAATACATACTCCGACGTCAGCCAGCTCCGACTGACGTACAGTGTGTACAAATCTGTCTACACTGTGGCACATGCGCTTCACAACATGCATACCTGCAAACCTGGCAGTGGTCCTTTTGTAAATGGGACATGCGCAGACATTCAAAAGTTTGAGCCGTGGCAGGTATGTTTTCATTTGTTTTCATCTGCTATCTTTCAACTATACATCAACAGTGGTAGCTATATCAAATGCAAGGATTATTATTATATTATTATAGAGCTGCACAAACACCAGCGAGTGTTCCTTTACACAAACAACAATTAACAACCGAAATGGGTTGCCAGGAAGAGGCCAGGACCCTGGACTCATTTAAGAAACAGCTGGATGCTAAATGGATGGAAGGTCGGGTGGGTATGGAAGGTTGAGATCAAATGGGCAGAAGGGCCTTCTTCATCCAAACTTCTCTTGTCATATTTTGAATTAAGTGCAGTATTTCTTGTTGTGAGAACTGTTCTTCAAAGGAGTTCCGTAGCATAACGGTTTGCGCGCTCGCCTCGTCATAGAATTATAGAACAACTTATAATAGTTAGAATATACAGTTATAGAATAAGACCATTACTTATTCCAAAGGTCAAGTCTACCAACAGTTCAACTTAGTTTGGGGATACGACACGTCAAGCGACTGCCAGGATGGTGGAAGGCGAATTAGATGAACCTTGTCTTCTTACACCGCCTCGCAAATTCTTTGTTCCTATGTTTTTATTCCCTCATTTACATCTGAGTCACTCTTTCTCCTGTCCCTCCTAGCTCATGTATTACCTGAAAAATGTCCGTTTCACAAGCCTTAATGGGGAAGATATCTATTTTGATATAAACGGAGATGTCAAGGCAGCATATGACATTATGAACTGGCGGAGGAGCCCTGATGGCTACATTTCCTACACACTAGTGGGAAGTTACAATGAATCTGCGGACTCAGACCAAGACATGGTCATTTACAATGACTCTATCATTTGGAACAATGAGCAGATCACGGTATGTAAGTAACCAAATAGCTGACTTGTTTATCACAAAAGAGTTTGCCCTGGAACGTACTTATACCGGGTGACCACAAAGTCATGATAACTACCCTATTATCTAAAAACAAACAACAATACTATCATTTCCTTGAGACTTATTAGACAGTGTAATGGTATCACGACTTTTCGGCCACCCTGTATATTATATACTCAATGCAGCTGAAAAAAATCTTTAACGTTTCAGGATCCTTTCAATGGGATAATTATTGTATCCAATCTGTTGTAAAACATTGCATTTTTGACTGTATTGTATTGTATTGATTATTAAGACTCGTGAGACTTGGGAAGGCTCCAATTTATTTACCCTTCACCAACGATGTGGCATGAAGGGCCGAATGGCCTCCTTCTGTGCTGTAATATTCTATGATTCTATGATTGCAACCGGAAAAAAAACCCATGTCAAATGTCAGACTGAATCTATGTCAATGTTTGGCAGCCTCCGGTCTCTCTGTGCAGTGAGAGCTGTCAGCCTGGCACCAGGAAGGGAATTCGACAGGGAGAACCTGTGTGTTGTTTCGACTGCATTCCATGTGCTGATGGTGAAATAACCAACACAACAGGTCAGCTGAAAATTACTCACACCCAAAATTACTAGCGCGTTTGTGTGGTTATTTGATAGTTATTCATACGGAAGCTGTGTTCATAAATACTTTCCGCGAGAAATTACTGAATATGTAAATGGGCGCAAAATCATTATCGAGCCACGAGAGCCAGATTTGTCCATTTCTTTTAACATAGAAGCGTAACCTCTATTGTAAAGCCTGTGATTACCGGAGACCACATTGTTATTTATTTGTAATTGCAATTATAAATAATTTGGCCACTTCAAACCACGGCTGTTTGTGGGGACGCTGCTGTGCGCAATTGGCTGCCGCGTTTTGTTTACAAAATACACAATCGATTCGCTTTACAGCGTATCCTGTGAAGCGCTTTGAGACGTCTCGAAGACGTGATAAGGCGCTGTATCAAATGTGAGGATTAATATTATTGTTATTATTCATTCGGCAGATGCCAGGGAATGCATTGAGTGTCTCGAGGATTACTGGTCAAACGAGAAGCGAGATGAGTGTTTGCACAAAGATATTGAGTACCTGGGTTACAATGACCCATTGGGAATCGCGCTGATCGTGCTGTCTATACTGGGAGCCTGTGTGACTGCGGCTGTGGGGGCAGTTTACCTGGTTCGCCGGGACACTGCGCTCGTCAAGTCGAACGATCGAGGGTTGAGCTTCCTGCTCTTGTTCTCGCTGGTCATAAGCTTTCTCAGCTCCGTCTTCTTTGTCGGCCAGCCGCAAAACTGGTCTTGCATGACCCGGCAAGTCCTCCTGGCCCTGAGCTTCAGCGTCTGCCTCTCGTGCATGTTGGCCAAGGCCTTTGCCCTGATGCTCGTAGCCAGAGCGGCCAAAGCACCAGAAAAGACTGAGCAAAAAGCCGCAGGACACCTCCAACAGAGGGTCATCGCCTCCATCTTTATATTCTGCCACGCTTGCCTCTGCCTGGCCTGGCTGCTCATCTTCCCTCCCCACCCCCTCAAGAATACCCTCTCTCAGAATATCAAGATCATTCTGGAATGCAGCGAGGGCTCGGTGGTGTTCCTGTGCTGTGTGCTTGGCTATGACCTGCTCTTGGCGGCCATTTGCTTCATCTTTGCTTTCATAGCTCGCAAATTGCCCGATAACTTTAACGAAGCTAAGTTCATGACCTTCGCCCTGCTCGTCTTTTTCATTGTCTGGATTTCCTTCATCCCGGCTTACCTCAGCACCCGAGGGAAGTACATGGTGGCTGTGGAAATATTCGCCATCCTGGCTTCCAGCTTTGGGATGCTGGGCTGTCTGTTTCTTCCTAAATGTTATATAATTCTACTGAAGCCGGAGAGGAACACAGAAGAATTGGTTACGGGCAAAACCAATGGCAACGATAAGAGCGCTCCACTCACCTCTCAGTCACTGAGCACATCAGGAGTGAGCACCACCTGCTCAACTGTTGCTCTGGATTAATGAACGGATTAATCTGGGTGCAACAAAACAACAGGACTTGAATTTGCTGCTTGAATCATTATATTTCTCGAGCATTTCTCGGGAAGCTCTAGTTTGTACTTTAAAGCGTCTGTATACAATGGACATGCCTTATATTCGAATGTATTTTATTCATTATTATTAATTTTATCTCACGATTATACATAAATGTTTGCTCTGTAATGACCTGGATCTCAGAACCAATTCTAGGTTTGATTTCTGTTTAATCTGTAGAGACACAGAAATCTCTTTTAAAAAAAAAAAATGTTTTAAATGGGGAGAAATTCCATCCAGGTCTAGATTTACTCCTAACATTTTAGAGCATCCAGAATTTGGCAAATTGTTGAATTCAACCTCAACTTTGAAGTTGTTTCTCTGCCAGTCCTTAGAAGAATTTGATGCAAAAAATAGCTTCAAAACTAAGGCTACAATATACCGAATTCTGGGTGCTATGAAACAATAATAATCCTTGCATTTGATATAGTGCCTTATCACATTGTTGAGATGTCTCAAAGTGCTTCACAGAATATATTATAAAGTGAATTGACTGTATGTTTTGTGAGAGAAACGTGTTAAATGCTGCGCCAAACCCATGTGGAATTTCTCCCATTTTAAAAAAATATTTATTTTTAAAAAAAAACTGAACCTGATTGTCCTGCACTCCTCGAGGTGTGAAGGGGACTATTTATTCAGGTTATTTCTTTCAATTCTTTTATTTATAGCTTTGTTATGATTTAATTAAGCAGTTATTAAACTGTGGCCTGAAAATTACAAATGAGATAATTGACAGATGTGGACACAATTATGCATTTCAATGCTAAATGAATCTTATTTCATTCCTAAATTTTTGCATTTAATTTCATGCTGTTATAATTTACATGCTGACTGATATCCCGCCGACAACAATGGTACGTCTCAAATCTTTTTATAATGAAATCTTAAAATTAAACTGTGCCTATGCAAAAAAAAAAGGGCTTTGGATGTTTTGTGTCATGCGATAGCAGAGTGCTTGCTGGCTGGAGGACAACACAGGAACTTTGGAAAAATATGTAATATTTTAATGTATCTGTGGCTGTGTGTGTGTGGTTGTGTGTGTGGCTGTGTGTGTGTGGGTGTGGGTATCTGCGTGTGTGCGTGTGGGTATGTGCGTGTGGGCGTGTATGAGCTTAACTCCAGAGTTGTAATCAGTGCCTCATCTGCTGCCTTGGGTCAGATACAGATTTTTGTGGGTCTCCCAATGTATTGATGACTGACCTGAATCAGTACAGTGGTGTTTCAGGTCCATTTTGCCGCCGTTGGGATGTTTGCCTAGAAAATACAGAGTCACTGCAATCTACAGTAAATCCTGTGAAGTGCTTTGCGATGTGATGAGGCACTACACGAAATCCAAGGGCCGTTATTTCGTTAATGATAATAATAATCCTTACATTTGACATAGCGCCTTATGACGTCTTCGAGACCTCTCAAAGCGCTTCACAGAATATCCTGTAAAATGGATTGACTGTATATTTGTGGGCGAACGCGGCAGCCAATTGCACACAGCAGCGTCCCACACACAGCGTGGATTGAAGTGACCAAATTATTACTATTATTATTTTTGCAAGCAATTTGTGATCCTTTCATGCCATCATTTGTTTTACCTGGAGGCTGACTGGGATGTTGTCAGATGCACTGGGGAGAGGGGGACACTGCGCAGTGTAATCAAACAAAGGCCCCATAACTAGTTAGCAATCCTGTCACAGTTAAACAGCGAGGAGTTGACGACTATCTTTTTGAAAGAAAACACGTACAACCGTAGAACTACTTCAGACATCGGTAGTGTGTTGGCTTAGTTTACGGGGATGCACGGCAAGCTTGACGATGCTTAACGTTACCTTTGACAAGGTGTGACAATCCACATTAACGCACAGAGAGGGATAGCCACTTGACCTGTATTGAACAGTCCACTTTCCCGAATTAACCCTTCAAAATGCCCTACCCTGACCCTGGCTGAAGAGTGATCAGGACTCTCAGGCTGTGTACTGTTGACCCCTGAGGTTTCTACTGTTGACTGTCTAGGCTTTCAGCACACTGAGTAAATGAATGCAGCCAGGGCTGACTTGGTGATCGACTCGGGCTGTGGACAGCAAAATCTGCCTTCATCAAGGTCTGAGAAAGTTGTATGCGAGGGCGATAAAACCTGCAGTGCTTAAAACAACGAGCTTGTGGGCATCAAGCCTGGACTGGGGAGGAACGTCAGGGAAGGAGCTGTGCTTTGAGAGGCAGAAGAAGCAGCTGCGAAGGTTTGAGGTAAGAAAGAGGTATAAATGCTTTCAAAACATTTGCTTCATTATCGTGCCTGTAAGTCAGGGCCTCACAACATTGTGACTGTAAAGCAGGACCCCGGCCAGGATTATTACCTGATTGTCTCAGGGGTAAACCAGGAGCAGATCGGCGATAGGCAAGATTTTTCTAGAAGGTGTTGATGAAAAGTACTGTGAACGCAGCAGAGAAATGGTAGCTCTTCAGTGAGGAAGCGCTGCTGCCTTTAGCACCCAGACGCTTGTAGTAACAGTTTTAAAGCATTAAGACTGGCTGTCAAGTCACAAACCAATTACTTCTCATTTAATCGATTTAACCCTTGACATCAGTGGAGCAACCCTCAGTTGCAATATCTTTATGGTATCAGGGCCTGGAATGCCAACTCCAGGATTAAACATTTAACACGGTGTTGAAATAGCACAACATCTCATTTTGTTGTTGTGAAAAATAATGTTGATTTCATTCATTCTCTCTAAACCTGAATAACCTCCATTGGAGAATTGTCCTTGCAATTCCTGCTAATAACATATGGGGTTTAATGTCCAGTAAAGATTATGTTCACAGGGTAACTATGCGGTGCGCATTTTTGTAACTTAAGTTTAGACAGGTAGGCTTAGCTCTTTTGTGGGGAATTCATTTTATACGTTAATAGTCGCATTGGCATTAAAGACATGCAAATGTCCTGCCAGTGACTGTACACTGAAGTTGAGGACCTGCAGCAGGGCAAATGCCCATCTTACCCTCAACGCATTTTCTGCTAAAAACTGTTTGACCTTAAGAAACACAGACGTGCAATAGATTACGGGAGGCAGTGGGGTGGTGCGATTTAGCTCAATGCTCTGGGTTAGTCAGGACAAATCTTTCAGTCATTGAAGGGCTAAACGGAACCTTTGACCTGCTGGCAAGCGAACCGGCAAGGCAATTGCAGATCAACTCTCCTCCCCGCTGTCTGCTTTGCACCTGCTGCTGATATTGATTTGGAATGCCTGAAGGAAATTATCTGATTACCCCCTCACTCCACCACCCGCTGCCTCCGCTCGGCCAGCTCCGGCCTCCTGTTCGTCCCTCGTCCCCTCCTCGCCACCATCGGCAGCCACTGAGCGCCGAAACTTTGTCACTCTCTCCCTCAATCGCTCTGCCTTGCCCCCCCCCTCCCTCCCTCACTCCCCACCTTCAAATCCCACCTAAACACCTTCCTTTTTGATTGTGCTTACAGGTCCCCTCACCCTCCCTCTCCCCCGGCTCGGGGTCAGACTCTGCTACGGTCACATGCTCCGGGACGCTAGCTCATGTGAAGGACCTTATATAAATGCACGTTGTTGTTGTTATATCATTGTGCAATAATGAACGAAGACAATACTGAAAATGATTTTTGTTTTATTCAAGGAGGGGCGGCAAAATGATAGACGGAAGAAGAAGCAGCAGGTAAATCTGATGCCATTCAGTGACTATCTGTGACAGTTACTTACTCGAACCTAATAGTTTTTCTGCAGTTAAATGACAAATGACAGTTGGAGCTTGTATCTTGATGTCTTCATGTTACAAAACCTGTCCCCAGCTCGTGCTCACAGTTAGCTGTGTGAAGTGCTTTGAGACATCCGCCATGATGTGAAAGGCGCCTAAATAAATGGAAACTGTTGCTGTCTGGTCATCTGTAGGCAGGAGCTAACCAGAAGCTGAGAGATTTTCACCACTAAGTGAAGCTGTTCCGCGTTTTCCTGCTTTTCAAAACTGATGGAACAAAGATCGAGTGAAAAAGTAAAGGGGGAAGTGGGCCAGTGTCAAGGGGGAAGTGGGCCAGTGTCAAGGGGTAAGTGGGCCAGTGTCAAGGGGGTAGTGGGCCAGTGTCAAGGGGTAAGTGGGCCAGTGTCAAGGGGTAAGTGGGCCAGTGTAAAGGGTTCATTTTAAGTGTAAGTACAAACCCATTCAGTGTTCAACAGCTGAGCTACTTTGTCAGCAGGTGAGCGTTTCAACCATTTGCTCATTTTCTGCCATTATAGTTTAAGTGTAACTGGATTTGCTTATACTGATCTATATCATCCACATCTTTCAGTGTTTTAAAGGTGCAGACACTTTTCTTAGAATGTTTCTTACCCCTCCCCTGTACTCCACCCCTCTTGGCTCCAGCCCCCAGCTCGGGTGCAAATCCTTTGCAGTCCAACTCCTTGGGACATCCACCCAGTGTGAAAGGCGCAATATAAATGCAATTTGTTGTTGTTGTTGTTGTCGTCGTCGTTGTTGGAAGCCAATGGCTAAAATGCAACAGTGCACCAGAAATCTTTACCCATTTAAGTAAAGTGAGGTCCAAACCTTATACAATCATTTATGTTCCAGACTCGGGCCAGTTTGACATCTGTTTATAATGCAATATTTTTGCATCGTAAAGCATTTGAGAGTTATACAGCAATTCTTAAGTGATTTGCAGAAAACTAAAAGGAGGATCTCAATTGCCCCCATAGGATGTTCAGCTGCTCTGTTTTTAATGAGCTTTAACGAGTACAGTAACACAATTGGACCCTGGAGAGCGCAACAGATAAATGATCTGTTTCGGAGCTATCACAGAAACTGTGTAAGGACGAGTGGATTCCAAGCGCACTCCCTGGGTTTAGTAGTTGCCACCAAAGCTTATGGGTTTCCAAGCATTATTATCTGAGAGCTTGATGGTCCAGTGTCTTTTGTAT